GGCGAGAGAGAGAGAGAGAGAGAGAGAGAGAGAGAGAGAAAGAGAGAAAGAGAGAGGAGAGAGAGAGAGAGAGAGAAGAGAGAGAGAGAGAAGGGGGGGGGATTTTGTGATTGGGAGTTTGTGAGTGGGAGTTTGTGAGTTTATAACGGAGGGCAGCTAAATGGAGCTCTACAATTACTTTTTGGATGCTTGATGGAGCTCGTGGAGAACAATTCCCAGCGATTTCTGGAACAACTCGACCTTTTGCGAAGCCCGCATGTGCTTGTCAGGTTCTTGCAATATGGCAAGAAGTACTTTCCCTGCATCGTGCCAACGTCGGTGCCACGGAATGTGGCTGCAAATATGTACACGGGCCATATCCTGGTTCCCATGTACCATCGAGCGTCGTCTGGTCACTCTGCAAGGATCACTGGACATATGACTTCGCCATCCGGCACATTGGCCTGCTGGACGTGAAGCATCATTACGGGAACATGTTCCAGCCTTGGGGAAAGGCAGTGCATTACAATCCGATATAGATCACACGCAAAAGACGTGTAGCATCTGGTCGCACGAGGAGATAGGTAACCCAGATATCTGGCTTTCAACTAAATTCAGGGGACCGACTGGTGCAAGGCATGGAAAATCAGTTGCAGTAGACATTACAAAAAGGACATACACACCTGAGCTTCCATCCAGAAGCTTGCAGTGCTGGGCGATGTGAAAATGAGATTGCCGAGGGCATCTTTCTGCGGATTGGCCACAGTTGGAACCCGGTTGAATTACTGGCATCTCCAAACAGACCCCGCAAAGCCTGGCAAATAATGGGCAGAGAATAATGGAGGGTACACTCCGACATCAGAGGCAGCAAATTCTGTGCGTGACTGCAACTCCGTAGAATAGTACAGAAACAAAGTAATACTTTCTCCACAACGTGAGCATGCAATGCTTACAACCTGTACGGGGCTGGTATATTTAACATAGAATGGCCACTGCCAGCCATCGATATGCACCTCCGAAACACTGTATGTCCCCCCACCAAGCCCTAGGCTCTGACCATACTTGATGGTCGCCGTCATTGAGTGCCAGTCGGCGATTCTAGACAAGTTTAGATCATTAGCATGCAAGAACTTGAGAAGTCGACTGGTGTCAGGAGCCAACAACCAAGCCTCTGTTGTTGTGGCCAAGTGGTGCCCTGGATTGGCGGGGCACGATCTTTGCCTGGGGGGTCTACAAATGTAGCATACGGCCCTATGAAAATACCTGACTTGAAGCTCCGGTTCCTTAGCTAAGCGGCAGTCCTCATCCGTAGTCGTGTGTGATCGTAGCGGGCCACAACCTCGGAACGAACAGCCACACCATTCGCACATAATTTACGGATTTCCATGCTTAAAGGTCGCATGGCATGTTGCTGTTGGCTATCGTGCGTTAAAGACCTAAGAGGGCACACTCGCGTGGCAAGAAGGACGACGATACCTACTAAGGGTAAAGTTATCAGACCGATCCATGACACCTCCATGGCTGAAGGCAAGAACCTATCTAAATCGCCATCCAATGGAATCGTGTGCTGTGAAATCGAGCTTCAAGATAGAAATTGCAAGCATAGAACATGCTCTGTATTGTCGCGGACATCGGGGACTTCACTGTTGGGAGGACTAGGCCTGATATGAAGAAGTATAGGTGCAACCAACGTGGGTAAACACCCCACCCGTATGTCAAATACAGGGACGTTTCGTACTGGGATATAATGGAGTTAAGATTCCCAACAATGGATACGAGCCTAGCAGCTACTAAACTGTACAGCTCGTAATATCAAGTATCGACACGTCCAGAGCTCTGGGCAATGTCGAGGAGAAACCACGCCGCATAATGCGGCATGTATTTAGAGAACCTTCTAGATCCAGTCTCCCCCCCACCCCCCCCACCTCTTCGAACGCCTCAACCGCTAAAACAGTGGCACGTATCCAGAGCCTCGATTTGGTCTGTTTAGCATGCGTGAGTCAGCTGCAGTGAACACCAACCACAGCGCGGAATCCTTACCTGCCCCAGACAGAAATTGAGCCAGAGGTAACAGCCCACACTGCGTATTTGGTTACACCCAACACTGTAGTATTTGCATTTGTGGGCAACACTACTGCGCCAAACCCAATTCGCTTTGGGAGGAGTGCGACACAACAGTATGCACCCGCATTGTTTGTTTCGCCGACCATAAGCTCGTATTCCAATCTGACGTGCGGTGACGCAAGTAACACGACCCTTTGTGTCATGTGCTCATGGCGACACCTGATTTTTGTGCAGCCAACCCTGGTCTTCACACGAAGGGCACGGAAATTCTTTGTTATAGCGTAGCTTTGTAAGAAATAGAGTTGAAATGATTTATTAGGTAAGGAGCCCAAGGCTCTATAAGTACATGGCAAGGTGAGAGTGAATGGATGAAGGGGGAATTGGAGGGAATCCCCATTGGGATCTCCGGAATCTCCAATTGGGTATTGGAGATTGGGGGGATCACAATTGGGTGAGGTTGCGATTTGTCAGTACACCCCAACCCACTAGAACATTCATAACCTAAACTAGGATATAAAAGTACAAATACAAAAGTGGTATTTGCAGTCTATTTCTAACACACCCCCATAGACTGCAAACCCGATCAAGGAACACATAACCCCATGGAACGGAGAAGGCGATGGTGGTCAGCCTTGCCGAGAGCCTTGGTAAAGAGGTCGGCGAGGTTGCAATCTGAGGCGATGTACCGTACCGTCAGCTGGTCACTCTGAACAAGATCTCGGATGAAGAAATGACGAAGTTCGATGTGCTTGGTGAGGATGTGAGACTTGGTGGCTTGTAGATAGCGGAGGACCCTCTTGGCTGCAGACCAATGCGAGGCAGTGTAGCGTCCGGGGGAGACGTACCGAGAGAGGACACTAACCGGGTAAGCCAAGTCTGGTCGAGTGCACATCATGGCATACATGCGTGAACCGACTAGCTCAGGGTACGGGTCCTTGCAGGCGTCAGGAGAAGGAACTGGAGGGGCCGTGAGCTGATGCTGTAGTGGGAGTAGAGTGGAGAAAGAGTTACTGGAGTCCATGTCGAACCGCTTGAGAAGGTTGTCGATGTAGGACTCCTGGGAGAGGGTGATCGTGCAAGCCTGGCGGTCACGAGTGATCTCCATCCCCAGGTAGTTCTTGAGGTCACCAAGATCCTTCATGAGAAGGGCGGAGCTGAGAGCAGACTGGACAGCTGCCATGTCGGCTGGATCTCTGGCGGCTAGAATGAAGTCGTCGACGTAGACGAGGATGTAGAAGGGCTCGGAGGAGTGACGAACGAGGAGACTGGAATCTGAGGCAGAGGGATGGAAGTCAAGTGCGAGGAGGACTTCCTTCACCTTGTTGTGCCACTCACGAGGAGCCTGCTTGAGGCCATACACTGGGCGCTTCAGCTTCCACACTGTGTTGGCAGGGTAAGTGCCAGGAAACCCCGGTGGGCGTTCCATGTGAACATCCTCCTTCAGCTGGCCTTGGAGAAAGGCGGAGGAGGTGTCCATGGACTTGATCTCGAAGTTGCCGCGAGCGGCTATATCAAGAAGAGTGCGCACAGTCGGGAGCTTGGCCGTGGGCGAGAAGGTTTCGAAGAAGTCGAGATACTCCTTCTGGGTGAAACCCTTCGCCACGTATCGTGCCTTGAACATTGGAGCTTCGCCTGGGAGTTGTTTGACTCGGAAGATCCATTTTCTGCCGACGATGTTGACACCGGAAGGGGGAACAACATCGTCAAAGCTGTTGTTGCGAATGAACGCCTCGTTCTCCACATCCATTGCTGCCTTCCACTCCTTCTTATAAGGCCCCGAGAGAGCTTCCTCTTTTGTGCGAGGAGTCGGAATGGTCGGGTTCTCGGTGAAGTTGAGGGAAGGGCAGTCAGTAATGTCCGGGAAGATGTGAGAGAGAAATTGGCAGACCGCGTGAAGGTCAAACAGCTCCTCATGCCTGTCCTCCAGAAGTGCACGAGGGGGAATACGGATGGAGGGACATCACCCCCGGCAGGAGGAGGCGGGGTGACCGAACACCGGATGGAGAAGGCGGCTGGTCCCCAGGCGAGAGGCGGAGCCGGTCCCTTGGAACGAGTGCGACTAGAGACCGGAAACGAAGGCGGCTGCGGTGGGACCGGAGGGACTGGGCACCTCCCGTAGGAGACTGGTGAGCCGGGCTCGACGCGCGGGAAGGCGGAGCAGGAGGAGGTGCCGCTGCGGAGGATACTGGGGAGGCCGGGTGAGACACGCCGGACGGAGAAGGCCCGGAGAAGGGGCAGCGGCCGGAGGTGGGCATCGAAGTCTGCCCAAACAAGCGTCGGGGGAGGTGGAGGAGGCTCGCCCGTGGTCGCAGAGAGGAATGGGCGTGTCTCATCGAAGACGACATGTTGCTCCCACTGCTGATGTGCGCCTCCACATGTTGTTCCCTGGCACTGCCATGATTAATGAGACAATTTCGCTGTGTCCCGGCTCACAAAGCACCTCAGCCACAATAGAGTTCACCCTCGACAGTGGGCCACTCACACGGTTCTCAAGGAAGAACACTCCTTCAAGCCATACGAGACACCAATCCGTCTACTAGGAGCAGACTCCAGTTTCACAACACACGCCAAGGGCTCCTCTACAGTTCCGTGCCCAGCTTTTCCTTCGGGCAGTGTCACCGGCATGTGTGTTCCCACACTACGCCACAATCTTGTGGCCCAACACGAGCTCCAACGGGCAGGCGTCACCATGATCTTCCCAGCACACTCGGATCACTGTGACCTCTTCGACCCTAAGTCCAACAAGCTCCTAGCACGCTTCACACTCAACAGTAGCAAGCTCTACACGCTGCGTTCACCTGCACCTCTCGCCGCCCTCTCCCAAGCGCAAGCTGCCAGCACCACTCCGTGTTCGTGTCGCAGCTTCGCCAACCCAACCATCCTCTACCACCATCGCTTGGGTCACTCCAACTTCCGTACACTTGCCGACATCGCTTCCAAGAAACTTCTTCTTGGCCTCCCGTCGGCGCTTCCTCCACCAACAGACTCACCTGCACCCACCTGCCTGGACTGCACCAAGAGCAAGCTCAGGCAGCAGCCGCATCCTTCCTCCCCATCCGTCGCAGCTGCTCCGCTGGACCTAGTGCACATGGATGTCTGGGGCCCAGCTCCAGTCGCATCCCGAGGCGGTCATCGGTACTTTCTTACACTAGTCGATGACCACTCGCGGAATGTTTCTGTGCACCTCCTGCATACCAAGGCGGAGGCACCTGATGTCATCATGGCGTGGGTGCGCCAGGTTCAAGTCACGTTCGGCACTCCTCTGAAGTGCCTCCATTCTGATGGCGGGGGAGAATTTCGCAATGGCAAACTCGATAACTTCTGTGCGGCCCAAGGGATTCGGCAAACCTTCACGCTCCCCGAAAGCCCACAGCAGAACGGCATTGCAGAGAGCCACAACCACACCTTGGTTCAGATCGCTCGCTGCCTCCTCAGTCACGCCAACGCACCACGGTCACTCTGGGGATATGCCCTCTTCCATGCGGCACTCCTCTACAATCTTTATCCGCATCCCCACCGGCCCGACACCACACCTACCGCTCTCTGGCTTGGGGTTACGCCTTCCGCCCGCTCTCTACGCGTCTGGGGGTGTACCGCGTATGTGTTGCTAAGCCCCCACACGCGCAGGAAGCAAGGTGGCAAGCTTGGTCCCAAAACCCAGATCTGCATGTACCTGGGGCACAACTCTGACTCCCCAGACTACTTATTCCTCAACCCAATCACCAGACAGCTAATTCGCAGCCGTGATGTCGTCTTCGATGAGACACGCCCATTCCACTCTGCGACCACGGGCGATCCTCCTCCACCTCCCCCGACGCTTGTTTGGGCAGACTTCGATGCCCCACCTCCGGCCGCTGCCCCTTCTCCAGGGCCTTCTCCGTCCGGCGTGTCTCACCCGGCCTCCCCAGTATCCTCCGCAGCGGCACCTCCTCCTGCTCCGCCTTCCCCGCGCGTCGAGCCCGGCTCACCAGTCTCCTACCGGAGGCGCCCAGTCCCTCCGGTCCCACCGCAGCCGCCTTCGTCTCCGGTCTCTAGTCGCACTCGTTCCAAGGGACCGGCTCCGCCTCTCGCCTGGGGACCAGCCGCCTTCTCCATCCGGTGTTCGGTCACCCCGCCTCCTCCTGCCGGGGGTGATGTCCCCTCCATCCGTATTCCCCCCGTGCACTTCTGGAGGACAGGCATGAGGAGCTGTTTGACCTTCACGCGGTCTGCCAATTTCTCTCTCACATCTTCCCGGACATTACTGACTGCCCTTTCCTCAACTTCACCGAGAACCCGACCATTCCGACTCCTCGCACAAAAGAGGAAGCTCTCTCGGGGCCTTATAAGAAGGAGTGGAAGGCAGCAATGGATGTGGAGAACGAGGCATTCATTCGCAACAACCGCTTTGACGATGTCGTTCCCCCTTCCGGTGTCAACATCGTCGGCGGAAAATGGATCTTCCGAGTCAAACAACTCCCAGGCGAAGCTCCATTGTTCAAGGCACGATACGTGGCGAAGGGTTTCACCCAGAAGGAGTATCTCTACTTCTTCGAAACCTTCTCGCCCACGGCCAAGCTCCCGACTGTGCGCACTCTTCTTGATATAGCCGCTCGCGGCAACTTCAAGATCAAGTCCATGGACGCTTCCTCCGCCTTTCTCCTAGGCCAGCTCAAAGAGGATGTTCACATGGAACGCCGACCGGGGTTTCCTGGCACTTACCCTGCCAAGACAGTGTGGAAGCTGAAGCGCCCAGTGTATGGCCTCAAGCAGGCTCCTCGTGAGTGGCACAACAAGGTGAAGGAAGTCCTCCTCGCACTTGACTTCCATCCATCTGCCTCAGATTCCAGTCTCTTCGTTCGTCACTCCTCCGAGCCCTTCTACATCCTCGTCTATGTTGGTTAGAGAAGGCTATAAGCAGATGATTCAATGGCTCCTTGGAAATTTCTGCAGCACTTCGTTATGACGCCCAGAAAACTCGTGACCTTCGATGAAACGATCTGAAAATCAGATATGTTGTAGCTTGCAGCATCAGCTTTCCAATGAAAGTTGAATCACTCGATTCCGTAGCTTAAGGAGCGAGCTATGACGTTTGGGGGTAATCTGCCCTATGAGAAGTTGACAATCCTCAGAGTTACTATGATTGAAGCTTACAAGTTCAGAGGCATGATAGAAAAGACATTGAAGCACAGTTGGAAGGTAGGGATGGAAGGGAAGGATGAAAGGGAAGGACCCTGGAGGCCCATGGTCAAGAACATGACAAGAGTCAAAGTCTTGACTCCCCATCCTCAGGTTCAGCCAGCCTGGCAAGACAAAATTCACACTGTACCAGGTTGGCCTCCAAACCCCAAATGCTGCAGCTGCAGGGTGGGGACAAAAGTCCCACACATGCTGGTCCCTCCTCGTTATAGGGCTCTCCAACTTTGGTGTAGCAGCTGACAAGGACTTCCAATGAGTTGTAACAAATCCATCAAACATTTCTTCGTAACTTCTTCATATGTGCTCCGATTCCAACAATTCTTGGCTCGTTGGAATGTGCTCGATGTCGTGCACAATCCAAGCACATCTGCACAAGCACAAGATGAACATGCAAAGACATGCAAACCCAACAAACCATACAAACAATGTAGCACACAAAACACATGCAACGAAATGATGCGAACAGACGACAGGATGACGTGCAAACTAATATGCACCAACAGTCTACGTCGAGGACTTCATTCTAGCCGCCAGAGATCCAGCCGACATGGCAGCTGTCCAGTCTGCTCTCAGCTCCGCCCTTCTCATGAAGGATCTTGGTGACCTCAAGAACTACCTGGGGATGGAGATCACTCGTGACCGCCAGGCTTGCACGATCACCCTCTCCCAGGAGTCCTACATCGACAACCTTCTCAAGCGGTTCGACATGGACTCCAGTAACTCTGTCTCCACTCAACTCCCACTACAGCATCAGCACACGCCCCCTCCAGTTCCTTCTCCTGACGCCTGCAAGGACCCGTACCCTGAGCTAGTCGGTTCAATCATGTATGCCATGATGTACATTCGACCAGACTTGGCTTACCCGGTTAGTGTCCTATCTCCTCGATGACTTAGGCTACCCCCAGCATACGCCCACCCTGTGGTGTAAGAATGAGAGTGCCATTCACCTCACCAAGGATCCTGTGTTCCACTCTCGTACCAAGCATATCGAACTTCGTCATTTCTTCATCCGAGATCTTGTTCAGAGTGACCAGCTGACGGTACGGTACATCGCCTCAGATTGCAACCTCGCCGACCTCTTTACCAAGGCTCTCGGCAAGGCTGACCACCATCGCCTTCTCCGTTCCATGGGGCTATGTGCTCCTTGACCGGGTTTGCAGTCTATGGGGGTGTGTTAGAAATAGACTGCAAATACCACTTTTGTATTTGTACTTTTATATCCTAGTTTAGGTTATGAATGTTCTAGTGGGTTGGGGTGTACTCACAAATCCCAACCTCACCCAATTGTGATCCCCCCAATCTCCAATTACCCAATTGGAGATTCCGGAGATCCCAATGGGGATTCCCTCCAATTCCCCCTTCATCCATTCACTCTCACCTTGCTATGTACTTATAGAGCCTTGGGCTCCTTTCCTAATTAATCATTTCAACTCTATTTCTTACACCCATGAAGACACTAATGACCGCACCATCGGCCTTCTCCCAATTCTTGTACTTGAGCAGTGCAGCAGCATAAACTGCTTCGGCGGCGGCATTAGCTGGATCGGCGGACCTCTCGGGTTGAGGAGGCTCTTTGCCGTCACCAATGTTGAGAAGGACGTCGGTGAGCTCGAGCCCCTTCACCTCGCGACTGAGGAGGTGCTTGTCGACACCATAGCACCAAGCCTTGTAGTTGGAGCATGTGCTGTCCGGCTCGAGACGAAGGAGCGGGATCGGGTTGGCGAGTGAAGTGGTTGAGTAAGCCATTGTCGGTGTGCAGCGCGGCACTTCTGGAAATTGGTCGACGAGAATTGCTGAAAATCACTCTGACGGCTGTATCAAAATGCCGCTAAGTAGGAAATGGCGTCGGCGAAAATTCGTTAAAACGCCGACTTGAAACTGAATCAGAGCCTATGTCTATCCCCGGACCCACACACCCCCCCACACACCCCCAGGCCCTGTCCCGCAGCTACACAGCTCCGCAACCAGCTCCGCAACCAGCTCCGCTCCGCTTCAACCTGTGTACCTGCTCTTGCTTGATGCGAGACGTTCGTGGAGGCGATTTCGCGAGGGGAGTTCGCCTATTCTGGCGGGGTCTGAGGGGAAACTCGAGAACGAGTTTTAAGAGATGGTCGAAATTGAGATTCGACCAAGGAGAACCGAGGAGGAAATCGACGATGAGAAGCGTGAACGCTTCAGAGATGAGAAATTCAACGAGGTCGAGTGCGAAGGCGGTCGACGATGAGAGGCGCGACTGCAGACTGCAGCACGTCGAAATTCCGACGACTCGAAACGAATGTCGCGACGATGAAGTGCGCGTAGCGCGGGCACGTTAAGATTAGGACCTTGATCCGCGTGTGCGGATAGGTCGCTCTGATACCATGTAAGAAATAGAGTTGAAATGATTGATTAGGTAAGGAGCCCAAGACTCTTTAAGTACATGGCAAGGTGAGAGAGAATGGATGAAGGGGGAATTGGAGGGAATCCCCATTGGGATCTCCGGAATCTCCAATTGGGTAATTGGAGATTGTGGGGATCACAATTGGGTGAGGTTGGGATTTGTGAGTACACCCCAACCCACTAGAACATTCATAACTTAAACTATGATATAAAGTACAAATACAAAAGTAGTATTTGCAGTCTATTTCTAACAAGCTTGTCGTTCACGTGTTTCGCCACGTAACCAGATTGCACTGTGCACGCGTCGTGAGCGTGCATCGGCAAATCCAAATTTGGACCAAGATCGTCCAGCGTCTCGGGCACCTATTTCAGCTCGAGCAATGTCAGATGGAAAATCAGGTTCGTGGATTCTCCACATTTTCAGTAACGTAGCTACCAGGCCAGGTTTTATGAAGAAAAGCAGAGAAGCTATGGCTGAGATTGGAAAGCGCAAACGGAGCTCAGAGTCTAACTCCAGAAGAACCGGGACGATACTCCAGCAAATGTTCGACTGCAGACATAGGGAAATATCCGCACTACTAATACAACGGGAGTTTCTGAGGTGCCTTTCTCAGGATGTGGAACCAACACCTAAACTTCTTTTGCCAGCACTAGAGCCATTCAGTGTCTCTGACATTGGAAGCGCGTCAGAGAAACGTTCTCGCTGTGAAAATCATGCAAGGAGGATTCGCACCAGGCAAGGGCAAGCTAACTTGGATTTCATAGACAAGCAAATTGCAAACGCCTTGTATGCTAGGAGGACCTGGTGTGGCTGTGGCAGCCATGGCGGCGGTGCCAAAGCCAAGCTGCTGCTGCTGCCATGCAGATGCTGCGGCTGCGGCTCCTGCAGCTGCGGCTGCAGCCTGACCACCAGAGCCCCACTGCTGCTGCTGCTGCAGCAGCTGCTGCTGCTGGAAGCGGCGAAACTGCTGCAGCTCCTGGGGAGTTAGGGGGTCAGCGACAGAGGAGGAGGAGGAGGAGGAGAGCTGAAGATGAGAGGGGAGGAAAGACGGAAGAGTTTTGACATCCTGGAGAGAGGGGCGGGGATCCATGGCAGACCAGCGTGGGGGTGTGCCAGTGTTGCCGCGCTCGAACCAGGCGTCATCATACGCCTTGAAGCAGGTCGCGGGGGGATGGTTGGTTTGGGTGCAGCGCTCACCCGCCCTGGGACCAAAACGGCGAAGATAGGAACATGGGGGGAGAGTGCCAGGGCGGCCACCACGGCTACCAGATGAGCCACTACTGCCTCCACCACCACCACTGCTGCCACTTTCGACCCCGCCACCACCGCCGCCGGCTCCGCTGCCCCCACAACCGCCACCTCCACCCCCTCCCTGAGGGTTGGTGCGGCCGCCACGTGGGCGCCCGCCACGACGCGGCTGTGTGACTGCAAGCTGGGGGTTTTGGGACTCGGTGGAGTTCAGGCCGGAGGGGGGGGTTGAGAGAAGGCGGGCCTCAGCGTCAATGATCCATTGGACCACAGTGTCAAGGGAGGCGCGGGGCTGAGCCTCAGTGAAGGCGATGACGCGCACTTCATATTGAGGGGAGAGGCCTTCGAGGAGACGGTAGATCTGAAGGTTGGGGGGGAGATTAGTCTGGCGAGCCTCAAGGCGGGAGGCAAGGTCCAGGAGACGGCTGGTGTAGTCAACGGCGCCAGCACTATGTTCGATCGTGATGCTGAAGTATTCCTTGAAGAGCGGTCCGACAGCATCGAAGTCGGTGCGTTCGAACATTGCCTCAAGCTCGAGCCAGATCTGGCGGGAGCCGATGCGACGTGCCTGGAAGTTGCGCATGAGCGCAGACGGGATGGCAAGGAGAAGGGCACCAGTAGCACGGCTGTCCGCCTCGAGCCAGGCGCGACGACGCTCAGCAAATCGCGCAGAGTCAGCGGCATAAGCGGCGGCGGTAGCGGCATGCTGGGTGCGGAGGGTTGCCGACCGCTCGTGTTCCTCCAACACGATCAGGTAATCAGTATGGAGCACGAGGAACTCACGACGCTGAGTAAGGAAGAGCTGCTCAACTTCAGCGGTGGCAGCGCGAGTGCTGGTGCCAACGGGTACCATGGGGGGCGGAGGTTCCTCGCCGGGATGGGGAATGAGAGGGGGGGATCGCCAGGGTGAGGCGGCGGGTCCCCAAGGTCGCCCTCTGGGAGACCAAGCATGATGTCCAGGAGGCGGAACGGCAGGACATAAGCACTGCCGAGGACGCGGTGGAGGCTGCCGACGAAGGAATACCAGTTGGTTGCTGAGTTGTCGGCAGCGCGCACGAGATGATCGAGGGTCGAGACGTCGACGGGAGGGGGAAAGGATGCCATTGGTGACACGGAGTGGGAGGAAGGCGACGGCGGGTGGACCCGCGGTGGCCGGGAGGGAGCGGCGGCGGGTAGACCCGCAGCGGCTCAAAGAGGAGGGGAGGATGGGGATGGCTGTAGATACTGCTGCTGCTGCTGCTGCTGCTGCTGCTGCTGCTGCTGCTGCTGCTGGTGCTGCTGCTGCTTCTTCTGCTGCTGCTGCTGCTGCTGCTGCTGTTGCTGTTGCTGCTGCTGCCGCTGCTGCTGCTGCCACTGCTGCTGCTGCCGCTGTTGCTGCTGCTGCTGCTGCTGCTCCTTCAGCTGCTGCTGCTGCTGCTGCTACTGCTGCTGCTGCTGCTGCTGAGTCTGCTGCTCCTTCTGGTGCTGCTGCTGCTTCTGCTGCTGCTGCTACGGCTGCAGCAGTGGTAAGGCGGCGATGAGCAGGTGCAGGTGAGGAGGCAAAAGATGGGGAAAGATGGCAGTTAGCTGATGAAAATAGGACTTGGTAGAAATTTCAGTAGCACTTCGTGATCACATCCAGGAAAGTGTGCAAACTTCGGAAAGCGATATCTGACAATCCAAGCGATGAAACAGTTCGAAATTTTACGACGTTTTAGCTGACACCAAGAGCGTTCTTTTGCAAGTCAAATCACTCAATTCTGTCAACTATCGAGCGAGCTATGGCGTTTGGCGCATTGGGGGTTTTTGAAAATCCACCCAACAGAAAACTAGTTGAGAGGCGGCGGCTAGGAGTCTAGCAGCGGCGATGGAGGGGACGGCAATGAGGTGCACGTCGGAAGGGGACGGGGCGGAAGCGTGGGGAAGGATCGGGATTTAAAAGTTGGCGTGAGCCATTATTGCTCTATACCATGTTAGAAACAGAAAGGTTCAGTTTATTGATGAAGCAAAGGCATTACATAGGAAGAGAGGGATGAGCTAGGAAGGGAAGGTTGGAAGGGAAAGGGGGGTTAGGACCAATCACAAGGGAGGGAGGATCCTTCCAAATGTGGTTGACCACCAGTTGGAGGTGGTCCAAGTGTGGTGTACCACCAGTGGTTTAGCCAACCCACTTGTGGTGCCCCCACAATTGTGGTCCTTGTGTTTGGGGGCTCCAACCACAATTGGGTTGGATTGACACCCCAACACAGGTGTACACCCAACTAGGGATGTAAACACAATATACACAACTAGCATAGCATGGTATATTCTAACACTATGGACTAGAGGGCAGTGAAAAAACCGATTCTGATCGATTCATGGCCATCATAAAGGAGTACCGGTCCATCAACTTCGCTGCAACCACCAGGGACGATATCGTAAAACCGACGCCGTATGATGGTGATTTTCGTGAATTTCTCTTGCTCTTAGCCCATGCTGAGGGATATGTGGTAAGTAAGCTCCTGCATATTCAGCTGCTTCGAAGAGATATTACTTCCACATCTGAAGCGGTTGTGCCTCTTTGTTTAGGTTGAAGGTGGTGATTATGATCAGAATGGAGCTGATGACGTGGTCTATCTTCCCGCTGCAGAAGAACACCGTCGGACTAGCAACGTTCCAGGCCCGTGCCCCTACTTGTAAGCACGATTAGTGTTCTCTTGCAGGTTCTTTTTCATAGGGACTCACTAACCTCGGAGACCACTTCTTGTTCCCTTTCACAGAGATGGGCTTGTGGGGCCGGATGGTTACGGCATCCCTTTAGATGCACTTGCACATGCGCTGGGCCTACTCACTCCATGGGAAGCAAAGCCGACCCTACAATCACTACACCCTGTTCTTGGCAAACCGAACGCAGTTTATTGCATATCTGCCCCTACCGAGTTCCCGTGTCTCAAGCAGCAATCGTTTTGGACGAAAGGATTCGAGACATACTCATTGGATGATGAATTTACTCCACCTTCCAAGAATCAGCCTCCGGGCTTTAGGAAAGTTATGCCAACACGTAGATGGTATTAGGTCTATCAACAAGGCTGCATAACTTTCACATTGCCTTTTGTTGCAGGGTGCCTTGCGACGTGTGACCTTTTGAATGTAAATTGTACTTTTTGAATAACCCCCTGTTTGATGAAATTTGATACCATTACCCAACTGCCTAATGTCAATCCTAGGTGACCAGGCTGCACATGATACACTTTGTTGAGCATATCACAGCACGTGCTTCCATGTCACATGGACGTGGTCTGGCTTCACATGCTCAAAACAGTTGCCCCTCATAATTATCAGCTGACTCTACTCGGCTGGCCTGGCACCAGGAGTGTGAACGTTGTCCAGCAGGGCATATGTAGCTTTCTTGGATTGCAATCCAGTCTTGCTGTTTCTAAAGGCACGCCTCTAGTGCCTTCTGGAATGGCACTCACCCTACTACGTTCATAGGCTCAGATTTTGCTCATTCTTGCATGACACATCCCCTTTTTATTTGCAAACTCTATATTAGTGCTTTCTTGAAAGACACATCAGTCGTGCTTTCTTGATAAGCTCGTCCCTATGTAGGTGTTTATGACACAGATATAAACTGTCTAACTTCCGTCTCTGGCCAATCACGCTAGCTCGTTAGATTGCGCAGCCCGTTATCCCTCTTTATAGGTGCAGCCCGCATACTTTCCCGTGTAGACTGCGTAGGCTAGCAACTCTTTTGGATGAGAGGCTCTGGCTCGGTTGGCTGTTCGGCACCATGTCCACATCATGGTGATCACCACGACAAGGAGCCGGCCGTTCCACCAAGTGGGGTGACTACGAGGTCTATGAGTTACCATCAAGCGGGCACGCTGTACGCACCGAGCGTGCGGGACCAGCAGATTCGTCAGAGAGCTTCCATGGGAGGGAGTCAGGTTACATGTCCTTCACAAGTGAACTCGAAGGGCACGGTATGGCATCAGAAGACGAGATGGGCTCAACAGGAGATGATGAGGACGAGATGACGGCAGGTAAGTGAACAGGGTAGACACGCTAGAGTGGGTCGGAGAGGGTTGAGAAGGAGAGGTAGGGTGGGGTGTGTTGGGGGGGTGGGCAGGAAAAGGGGGGGAGGAAGGGGGGGGGGGGGGGGGGGGGGGGGGGGGGGGGGGAGGAAGGGGGGGGGGGGAGGATTGGCAGCGTTGTTTTTTAACACCCTGAAGGGATTCGTGTGTAAGAATGTATATTATATGCATCGTATTGCCGAGCTTTGTGCGGCGTGCTGTGACTTGCACACTAAGCTGCCCCCTCTTAGATTGCCTCCCTTGGCCCCCATGTTTCTCACCAGTTGGGACACCACCAAGGAATGAGCGTCCTTTGGCTGAGACGACTGCCTGCACCTCTCCTCCAGGCACTCCAATACAGACACACTTCACAGGGGACCTGGCAGTGGCAGCAGCAGCTGCAACTGCCGCAAGGGAAAAGCGTCATGCGAAACCAAGTAAACAGGGAGCGCATAAGCATGCACCTGCACGTGAACCTGCCCATACCAAGCGTGGTGGCCGTACGCAAATCACCCAACCCCCGAGATTCGTGCAGCTATAGCAAGAAAATGAGGCATAAAAAAACGTTTGCGGGAGTCACAGGCGAGGTGACCAGAATCGCGGGTCACCATGGTGTGAAGCCACATGGGCATCGGCGCCACAAGGCAAGTGGGCTGCACACCTCACCGACTCCGGGTGATGGAGCTGGCATGCCATCGCAGCAGCCAACGAATCCCAACCATCGTCCATTGCCGGCCGCTGCAGCAAGGGCAGTCGATTGTGAGCTGCATCGTCGGGGTGGCACTCATTGGCTTTGGGATGTCAACAGGATGCACACCAAATAGCGTGATAGGATGGAATCCGCTCTAAAGACCATACCCAATATGTACTCAGGATTTAAGGTGTGTAGTTACGCTACTTCTTCCCTTGCACCTGCCCTCTTGCAGCTTGGAACCAGCACCTGCCCTCTTGCACCATGCCACCAACACCTGCCCTCTTGCACCATGCCACTGGCACCTGCCCTCTTGCACCATGCCACCAGCACCTGCCCTCTTACACCTTGCACCGGCACCTGCCCAATTGCACCTTGGAGCCAGCACCTACCCTCTTGCACCATGCCACCAGCACCCGCCCTCTTGCACCTTGCCACCAGCACATTCGCTCGTGCACCTGCCACTGGCACCTGCCCTCTTGCACCATGCCACCAGCACCTGCACTCTTGCCCCATGCCACCAGCACCCGCCCTCTTGCACCTCGCCACCAGCACATGCGCTCTTGCACCTGCCACCGGCACCTGCCCTCTTGCACCACGCCACCAGCACCTGCCCTCTTGCACCTCGCCACCAGCACCTGCCGCCTTGCACCTTGCCACGTGCACCTGCTCTCCTGCACCTTGCCACCATATGTCCTCTTGAACCTTGCCACCAGCACCTGCCCTCTTGCACCTTGCCACCAGCACCTGCCCTCTTGCACCTTGGAGCCAGCACCTGCCCCCCTGCACCTCTTCCCCTAAACCCTGCCCTCTTGCACCTGGCCACGTGCACCTGCCCTCTTGCACATTGCCACTTGCATTTGCCCTCTTGTACCTTGGGGCCAGCTCCTGACCTCTAGCACCTTGCCACCGGCACATGCCCTCTTGCATCTTGTCACGAGCACCCGCCCACTTGCACCTTGCCACCAGCACATGCGCTCTTGCACCATGCATCCGACACCTGCCCTCTTGCACCATGCCACCAGCACCCGCCCTCTTGCACCTTGCCACCAGCACCTGCCTTCCCCATGGCCATGCCCTTGCAGCCAGGCTCTTGAATGCAGCTTCCATACTACGTGCCAACCTTGTCCCCATACGTCCGTGATCTCCACGACATTGGTTCTGCGGTCACCTAGGGTGGTTATTTTACTCTTCACCCTCCCCTCCCCCAACGCTCCATGCCCTTCCTGTGTGGCTGGTGGTGACAACACCACCGGCCATGGCAGCAGGGCTTATGCCACGGCCATTCGTGCCTCATGCATCGTTCCTTCTCAATCGAGCATGGACAATGCGGGTCTCACCCCCGCCTCTCCCACCCCTGGTGCCTCGCATTTGCCCTTCCCACTCTTCCCTTTCCCTTTCCCACTCCCCCCTTTCACTCCGTACTCCTCCACCCTGTTCACCTTGCCGTGGTCTTTCCCACCTGGTTTCTGCATATCCCGCCCTAGCATTCCCTTACAGTTTTGCTCAGGTCCTGCATTCCTCACACTCTTGTGCCTTCTCTCTTATAATGTGCTCTTGTTTTAGACATTGTGCAAGGACACTATCAGCATAATGCTATTTGAGCTTGAGGACGAGGACATGACAATGTGGCCAGGAGATCCAGTTGTTGAGGCTGCGATGCTCAAGGCGCTTTCCTTTCAGGATCCGGAGCTGAAGGTCAAGGTTCACATGGTGTGGAACAACGATAGACTGCGCAGGCTGTGGCTCACTAGGAAGCTGCAGGTTTTAAGGTGTAAATTACACAAGCAAGGAAGAACATGTTGGTTAGAGAAGGCTAGAAGCAGATGATTCAATGGCTCCTTGGAAATTTCTGCAGCACTTCGTTATGACGCCCAGAAAACTCGCGATCTTCGAAAAGCTATATCCAAAACTCCAATCGATGAAACGATCTGAAAATTGGATATGTTATAGCTTGCAGCGTCAGCTTTCCACTGAAAGTTGAATCACTTGATTCCGTAGCTTATCGAGTGAGCTATGGCGTTTGGCGCACTGGGGGGTAATCTGCCCTAGGAGAAATTGACAGTCCTCAGAGTCACTATAATAGAAGCTTACAAGTTCAGAGACATGATGGAAAAGGCATTGAAGCATAGTTGGAAGGTGGGGTGGGAAGGGAAGGATGAAAGGGAAGGACCCTGGAGGCCCTTGGTCAAGAACATGACAAGAGTCAAAGTCTTGACTCCCCATCCTCAGGTTCAGCCAGCCTGGCAAGACAAAATTCACACTGTGCCAGGTTGGTCTCCAAACCCCAAGTGCTGCAGCTGCAAGGTGGGGACAAAAGTCCCATACATGCTGGTCCCTCCTCGTTTTAGGGCTCTCCAACTTTGGTGTAGCAGCTGCCAAGGACTTCCAATGAGTTGTAACAAATCCATCAAACATTTATTCGTAACTTCTTCATATGTGCTCCGATTCCAACAATTCTTGGCTCGTTGGAATGCGCTCGATCTGATGTACAATCCAAGCACATCTGCACAAGCACAAGATGAATATGCAAAGACATGCAAACCCAACAAACCACACAAACAACGTAGCACACAAAACACATGCAACGAAATGATGCGAACAGACGACAGGATGACGTGCAAACGAATATGCACCAACACACTCCCCCTCAGACTGTCGGCTTATTTCGCCATCTCTAGTTCATGGACATTCCCGCCATTCTCGCACAGCTCCAGTGTGGCTCTTCAGCTAGCCGCTTGGTAAGGAAGTCGGCTGGCTGTTGCTGAGTTTTCACGTAGATCGGATCCAGTGTCCCAAGCTTCACCTCCTTCCGCAGCCAATGCCACTTGATCCTCATGTGCTTGTTCAACCCATGAAGAACTGCATTGCGTGCCATGGCAATGGCTCCCTTGCTGTCACTGAACAGAGGTGTCGCACAAGTCTGTTCATGGCCGATCTCCTTCAAGAGCCTCCTTAGCCAAATGATTTCTTTTGCTGCATGAAACATCGCCATGTACTCAGATTCCACTGACGATAGTGCCGTCTCAGACTGCTTTTTGGACCTCCAACTTACAGGCCCACCTCCCACCATGCAGATGTATCCACCTACTGATGATGAATCCTCATGCTCAGAAGCCCATGTGGCATCAGCAAAACAGGAAAGGAACACCTTTCCTTCTCCGAGCTGCTCCCCCTTCTCTTTGAGAACTTCAACTCCTTTCTGACTGAGTTGAGCAGAGGCTGAATACTGTACTCCCACTGTAGGGTATGACTTGAGGTAGCGCACCACTCTCTCCGCTGCACCACACTGCTCTTCTGTTGGATTTTGCACTACTCGAGCCAGCTGTCCCACAGCAAAGCTGATGTCAGGCCGAGTATGCACAGCAGCGTAGAGTAGGCTCCCGACCATGGATTGGAATTGCCTCTGGTCTTCACACTCAACTCCTTCTCCTTCAGCTGCCTTTATGAGTTTGAACTCGGAAGGCAAAGGTGTAACCACTTCCCGTTCTTCCTGCAGAGAGTACTTCTCAGCCAAGGTGTTGATGTACTGTCCCTGATGCAGTTTGAGCCAGCCACGTTCAGTATCCCGCTCAATGTGCATTCCCAGGTAGTACCTTGCCTCTCCAAGTGACTTGCACTTGAACTGCTCTGTGAGCTTCTGCTGCACCCCATCGATCTCCTTGTCACTGCTGCTGAAGAGCAGGATGTCATCCACGTACACCAGCAGAAGCACAAGCGACTCCCCCTCGCCCATCAGGAATAGGCTCTCGTCGTATGCACTCGCACGGAATCCAATCCCTTCCAGTGCACTGGCCAGCCTGTTGTACCAGCATCTCGGGGCCTGCTTCAAGCCATAGATGGCCTTGTTAAGTTTGCAGACACGACCGGTTCCATCCTCATAGCCAGGTGGTTGAACCATGTACTCCTCCTCTTCCACAATGCCGTACAGAAAAGCGGTTACGATGTCCATCTGCTTCACCTTCCATTTGCGCACAGCAGCTACCGCCAGCAGCACACGTAGCGTTGGAGACTTAGCAGTTAGGGCAAACACTTCTTTGTAATCTTCCTTCTCTTTCTGCTGAAACCCCTTTGCCACCAGCCTGCTCTTGTAAACTGATGGCTCTCCTTTCTCATCCGTCTTGATTTTTGCCAGCCACTTGCACTGTATTGCCTTCTTCCCATTTGGCAAGTACACCAGGTCCCATGTGTGGTTCTCCATCTGGCTGTTGTACTCTGCATCTCTTGAAACGAGCCATTTCCCCCGTTGAGGCCCGGCTAGCGCATGATCCATGCTCGGAGGTTGTATTGGTGCGTAAAAGCAGTATGCAGGCTCTTCGTCATCTGACTCTTGGTCATCACCCAAGAACAGCACTGTATCTTCGCCTTGAGCCTGTTCCTGCTGCTCAGTTGTGGCTCCTTCACTTGTAGAGCTCAGCAGCTTTCTTGTTGCCATTCTGGTACGTGCAGGGTAGATGGTTGGATTTACCCATTCTTTCACCTTCACCCAATCCTTTGTCCCCCCACCAATCTGTTTCCTTCGCTTTGGCAGACTTGGTGTTTTGGAAGCCTCTTGCTGCTGCTGCTCCGGATCCTTGACTTGAGCATCAGCTGCAATATCCTCATTGCTTCCTTCATCAGTACCGCTTGCCGTTGGCGCAGTGACTTCGCTGTCCTCAGGTTCGGACAAATCGAAGTGCATAGTGATCTCTTCCAGCTGCTGGGTGACCCTTGCCTCCGGCTGCTTCTCCCACTTGCCATACATGATGTTCTCCACAAATTTGACATCCCGACTGTCAAACAGCACATTCTTCGAGGGCTCCCAGAGTAGCCACCCCTTGCTCTCTGCCGCAAGCCCAAGGTGCACACACCACAGTGCAGATGCTCCAAGCTTTGTCCTGTACGGTTTAGGGACATGCGCCACTGCCATGCATCCGAACACTCTGAGCATGTCCACTGGAGGCTTCTTTCCAAGCCACCTCTCCAGCGGCACCCACATATCATCAGCTACCTTTGTGAGTACGCGGTTCCTTGCCACTGTAGCATGCCTCACCGCATGAGGCCACATGGAGTTCCCCAGCCCTGATTCGATCAGCAGCGCTCGCGCAGTTTCCAGGATGGTCCTATTAGCCCTCTCAGCAACGCCATTTGACTGAGGGGTATAGGACGTCGTTAGCTGATGCTCAATGCCTTGTTTCTTGAGCCACGCAGTCAGATCTCCTCCTAGAAACTCTCCACCTCGGTCGGTTCTGATGCTCTTGCATGGGTGCCCAGATTGTCGCTCGACGAGCGGCAGCCAGTCATCTCGTATTGTTGAGGCAGCATGATCCTTCTGCTTCAACGGGTATGCCCACATCAGCCGGCTCCAGTCATCAACTATTGTTAGGAAGTATCTTTCCCCCTTTCTTCCTTGAACTGGAAAAGGTCCTACCAGGTCCATGTGCACCAGTTCCAGTGCTGCCTTGCTTTTCCCAGCTACGCCGTGAAAGGGGAACCGTGTGAACTTGCTCAGCAGACACGTCTCGCACTTGGTATCATTTGGTTGCCCAGAAAGCTTCAGCCCCTTTACTGCTTCTTCCTTATGCAGTTGCTGCAGCAATGGCATAGCCACATGCCCTAGACGCCTGTGTGCGGTTTCCCAATCAGTCTCCCCCGACCTTGCAGAAACCGTCACTCCTGCAGCACTAACTGCATTGCACTCCCCCTGGACTCCAGATCCCGCCTTTACTGCTCCCAGCTCCTTCTTTGTTGATTCCCATATCAGCGCAGGGATCTGCCACATGGATCTGAAGACATCCCTGCTTTCGTGTAAATCCCATAACACACGATCTCCTCGCAGCCCCTTGAATGTTTTGGATCCATTGGTGGTGGTGCTGACTCCGGCCTGGCCTAGCTTGCGCAGCGATATCAGATTGGCCTTCAGCCCCGGTACGAGTAACACATCCTTCAGCACAACCAGTCCACCATCAGGTGCTCTGAATGCAGCTCGACCAACTCCAGCGACCTTCACTGCATGTCCGGATGCTGAGCGCACTTCAGAGATTGGAGGCGCTCGCACAGCATCCAGCAAATCCTTGAGTGGTGTCATTGTCCATGCAGCACCAGAGTCCATGACCCACATGTCAAGCGGGTGCAATTCCTCTCCAGCCCTTGCAACAGCTGTACCACTGTCATCTTTGTCACACACATGGTAGAACTGTCCAGCATTCCTCTCCTCATTTCCCATTCCTCTGTCATCCTTGGAGGTTTCTTCAGCAGGATCAGCTACCATGTTGGCACCTCCACGTGGTTGCTTTCCTCCATTCCCCTTTTGCGATTGGTTCCAAGGGGTCCACCAGTCGGGCTTGGTAGAGCAGCGAAACCATGGATGCCCTTCTTCCTTGCAATACCAGCACTCTCCCCTCAAGCGTGGTTCACTGTTGTCATGGTTCGAGTGACCACCTCTTCCTCTTGCACCAGCGCCACCACGCCCTTGCTGGTTCCAAGTCCCGCGACCACCTTGGCTGTAGTAAGAGCGACCGCGATTGCCACGCCCTCGATCCCTCCATGTCCCTTGCATGGCATAGCCGCTGGTGCTGTCATCACCTCCGCGCAGTGTGTAGCAACGAAAATCTTCTTCCAGAATCTTGGTGCGAATCCACTCCAATGTCCATTGACTTTGGTTTTGTGGCAAGCTGAGTCCGCTTATAAATTGCAGCCAAGACTCGGGCAGCAGGCTGAGCATCTTGAGACACTTAGTCTGCTCAGGGTACGTGATGCCCGCAATCGCCAATTTCGCGTAGAGTTCCCTCATCTTGTCCAGAACGGGCTGCACAGGTTCATTCTCGCTCAACCGCAGCATGGACAGCTCCCGATCCAGCATGAGAGAAGCAGCAACCGATGTCGGAGCGTGCAGGTCCTTGAGCACTGCCCATGCCTTGGGCCCACAATCAGTTTCCGGTAGCAGATGCATGATGTGATGCCTCTGGTTCAGCTCCAAGCTTTGTGACAGTAGATAATACCCAGCAGATGAACGTTCATCCCAGTCCGCTTGCTCTGCCATTTCCTTTGGCCTGGGCTCCGTTCCAATCATGAGCTTCAAGAGGCCAATTTGTCGAAAGTAGAGCTGCATCTTCCATGCCCAATCATCATAGCCATCTCCAGAGAACTTCTTAATGGTGAAGTTCTTCAGCACTTCCTTAAGCAGTGATCCCTGGCTTGTACGCGCTCCCCTTTGCGCTGCAATGCCAGAATCTTGGGTTGAGCTGCCTCCTTGGACTGAAGTATCACCTCCACCAGAGTCCTCCTTATCTCCCATCGTAATTTAGGTCCCAAATGCGTGATAATGGGCTCTGATACCACTTGTTGGTTAGAGAAGGCTAGAAGCAGATGATTCAATGGCTCCTTGGAAATTTCTGCAGCACTTCGTTATGACGCCCAGAAAACTCGCGACCTTCGAAAAGCTATATCCAAAACTCCAATCGATGAAACGATCTGAAAATCGGATATGTTATAGCTTGCAGCGTCAGCTTTCCACTGAAAGTTGAATCACTTGATTCCGTAGCTTATCGAGTGAGCTATGGCGTTTGGCGCACTGGGGGGTAATCTGCCCTAGGAGAAATTGACAGTCCTCAGAGTCACTATAATAGAAGCTTACAAGTTCAGAGACATGATGGAAAAGGCATTGAAGCATAGTTGGAAGGTGGGGTGGGAAGGGAAGGATGAAAGGGAAGGACCCTGGAGGCCCTTGGTCAAGAACATGACAAGAGTCAAAGTCTTGACTCCCCATCCTCAGGTTCAGCCGGCCTGGCAAGACAAAATTCACACTGTGCCAGGTTGGTCTCCAAACCCCAAATGCTGCAGCTGCAAGGTGGGGACAAAAGTCCCACACATGCTGGTCCCTCCTCGTTTTAGGGCTCTCCAACTTTGGTGTAGCAGCTGCCAAGGACTTCCAATGAGTTGTAACAAATCCATCAAACATTTATTCGTAACTTCTTCATATGTGCTCCGATTCCAACAATTCTTGGCTCGTTGGAATGCGCTCGATCTGATGTACAATCCAAGCACATCTGCACAAGCACAAGATGAATATGCAAAGACATGCAAACCCAACAAACCACACAAACAACGTAGCACACAAAACACATGCAACGAAATGATGCGAACAGACGACAGGATGACGTGCAAACGAATATGCACCAACACACTCCCCCTCAGACTGTCGGCTTATTTCGCCATCTCTAGTTCATGGACATTCCCGCCATTCTCGCACAGCTCCAGTGTGGCTCTTCAGCTAGCCGCTTGGTAAGGAAGTCGGCTGGCTGTTGCTGAGTTTTCACGTAGATCGGATCCAGTGTCCCAAGCTTCACCTCCTTCCGCAGCCAATGCCACTTGATCCTCATGTGCTTGTTCAACCCATGAAGAACTGCATTGCGTGCCATGGCAATGGCTCCCTTGCTGTCACTGAACAGAGGTGTCGCACAAGTCTGTTCATGGCCGATCTCCTTCAAGAGCCTCCTTAGCCAAATGATTTCTTTTGCTGCATGAAACATCGCCATGTACTCAGATTCCACTGACGATAGTGCCGTCTCAGACTGCTTTTTGGACCTCCAACTTACAGGCCCACCTCCCACCATGCAGATGTATCCACCTACTGATGATGAATCCTCATGCTCAGAAGCCCATGTGGCATCAGCAAAACAGGAAAGGAACACCTTTCCTTCTCCGAGCTGCTCCCCCTTCTCTTTGAGAACTTCAACTCCTTTCTGACTGAGTTGAGCAGAGGCTGAATACTGTACTCCCACTGTAGGGTATGACTTGAGGTAGCGCACCACTCTCTCCGCTGCACCACACTGCTCTTCTGTTGGATTTTGCACTACTCGAGCCAGCTGTCCCACAGCAAAGCTGATGTCAGGCCGAGTATGCACAGCAGCGTAGAGTAGGCTCCCGACCATGGATTGGAATTGCCTCTGGTCTTCACACTCAACTCCTTCTCCTTCAGCTGCCTTTATGAGTTTGAACTCGGAAGGCAAAGGTGTAACCACTTCCCGTTCTTCCTGCAGAGAGTACTTCTCAGCCAAGGTGTTGATGTACTGTCCCTGATGCAGTTTGAGCCAGCCACGTTCAGTATCCCGCTCAATGTGCATTCCCAGGTAGTACCTTGCCTCTCCAAGTGACTTGCACTTGAACTGCTCTGTGAGCTTCTGCTGCACCCCATCGATCTCCTTGTCACTGCTGCTGAAGAGCAGGATGTCATCCACGTACACCAGCAGAAGCACAAGCGACTCCCCCTCGCCCATCAGGAATAGGCTCTCGTCGTATGCACTCGCACGGAATCCAATCCCTTCCAGTGCACTGGCCAGCCTGTTGTACCAGCATCTCGGGGCCTGCTTCAAGCCATAGATGGCCTTGTTAAGTTTGCAGACACGACCGGTTCCATCCTCATAGCCAGGTGGTTGAACCATGTACTCCTCCTCTTCCACAATGCCGTACAGAAAAGCGGTTACGATGTCCATCTGCTTCACCTTCCATTTGCGCACAGCAGCTACCGCCAGCAGCACACGTAGCGTTGGAGACTTAGCAGTTAGGGCAAACACTTCTTTGTAATCTTCCTTCTCTTTCTGCTGAAACCCCTTTGCCACCAGCCTGCTCTTGTAAACTGATGGCTCTCCTTTCTCATCCGTCTTGATTTTTGCCAGCCACTTGCACTGTATTGCCTTCTTCCCATTTGGCAAGTACACCAGGTCCCATGTGTGGTTCTCCATCTGGCTGTTGTACTCTGCATCTCTTGAAACGAGCCATTTCCCCCGTTGAGGCCCGGCTAGCGCATGATCCATGCTCGGAGGTTGTATTGGTGCGTAAAAGCTGTTGGTGCATATTCATTTGCACGTCATCCTGTCGTCTGTTCGCATCATTTCGTTTGCATGTGTTTTGTGTGCTACGTTGTTTGTATGGTTTGTTGGGTTTGCATGTCTTTGCATGTTCATCTTGTGCTTGTGCAGATGTGCTTGGATTGTGCATGACATCGAGCACATTCCAACGAGCCAAGAATTGTTGGAATCGGAGCACATATGAAGAAGTTACGAAGAAATGTTTGATGGATTTGTTACAACTCATTGGAAGTCCTTGTCAGCTGCTACACCAAAGTTGGAGAGCCCTATAACGAGGAGGGACCAGCATGTGTGGGACTTTTGTCCCCACCTTGCAGCTGCAGCATTTGGGGTTTGGAGGCCAACCTGGCACAGTGTGAAATTTGTCTTGCCAGGCTGGCTGAACCTGAGGATGGGGAGTCAAAACTTTGACTCTTGTCATGTTCTTGACCATGGGCCTCCAGGGTCCTTCCCTTTCATCCTTCACTTCCTACCCCACCTTCCAACTGTGCTTCAATGCCTTTTCTATCATGCCTCTGATCTTGTAAGCTTCAATCATAGTGACTCTGAGGACTGTCAACTTCTCCTAGGGCAGATTACCCCCCAGTGCGCCAAACGCCATAGCTCACTCGTTTAGCTACGGAATCGAGTGATTCAACTTTCAGTGGAAAGCTGACACTGCCAGCTACAACATATCCGATTTTCAGATCGTTTCACCGATTGGAGTTTTTGATATAGCTATTCGAAGGTCGCGAGTTTTCTGGGCGTCATAACGAAGTGCTGCAGAAATTTCCAAGGAGCCATTGAATCATCTGCTTATAGCCTTCTCTAACCAACAAGTGGTATCAGAGCCTATTATCACGCATTTGGGACCTAAAATACGATGGGAGATAAAGAGGACTCTGGTGGAGGTGATACTTCAGTCCAAGGAGGCAGCTCAACCCAAGATTCTGGCATTGCAGCGCAAAGGGGAGCGCGTACAAGCCAGGGGTCACTGCTTAAGGAGGTGCTGAAGAACTTCACCATTGAGAAGTTCTCTGGAGATGGCTATGATGATTGGGCATGGAAGATGCAGCTCTACTTTCGACAAATTGGCCTCTTGAAGCTCATGATTGGAACGGAGCCAAGGCCAAAGGAAATGGCAGAGCAAGCGGACTGGGATGAACGTTCATCTGCTGGGTACTATCTACTGTCACAAAGCTTGGAGCTGAACCAGAGGCATCACATCATGCATCTGCTACCGGAAATTGATTGTGGGCCCAAGGCATGGGCAGTGCTCAAGGACCTGCACGCTCCGACATCGGTTGCCGCTTCTCTCATGCTGGATCGGGAGCTGTCCATGCTGCGGTTGAGCGAGAATGAAGCTGTGCAGCCCGTACTGGACAAGATGAGGGAACTCTACGCGAAATTGGCGATTGCAGGCATCACGTACCCAGAGCAGACAAAGTGTCTCAAGATGCTCAGCCTGCTGCCGGAGTCTTGGCTGCAATTTATAAGCGGACTCAGCTTGCCACAAAACCAAAGTCAATGGACATTGGAGTGGATTCGCACCAAGATTCTGGAAGAAGATTTTCGTCGCTATACACTGCGCGGAGGTGATGACAGCACCAGCGGCTATGCCATGCAAGGGACATGGAGGGATCGAGGGCGTGGCAATCGCGGTCGCTCTTACCACAGCCAAGGTGGTCGCGGGACTTGGAACCAGCGGGGGCGTGGTGGCGCTGGTGCAAGAGGAAGAGGTGGTCACTCCAACAATGACAACAGTGAACCACGCTTGAGGGGAGAGTGCTGGTATTGCAAGGAAGAAGGGCATCCATGGTTTCGCTGCCCTACCAAGCCCGACTGGTGGACCCCTTGGAACCAATCGGAGAAGGGGAATGGAGGAAAACAACCACATGGAGGTGCCAACATGGTAGCTGATCCTGCTGAAGAAACCTCCAAGGATGACAGAGGAATGCGAAATGAGGAGAGGAATGCTGGACAGTTCTACCATGTGTGTGACAAAGATGACAGTGGCACAGCTGTTGCAAGGGCTGGAGAGGAATTGCACCCGCTTGACATGTGGGTCATGGACTCTGGTGCTGCATGGACAATGACACCACGCAAGGACTTGCTGGATGCTGTGCGAGCGCCTCCAATCTCTGAAGTGCGCTCAGCATCCGGACATGCAGTGAAGGTCGCTGGAGTTGGTCGAGCTGCATTCAGAGCACCTGATGGTGGACTGGTTGTGCTGAAGGATGTGTTACTCGTACCGGGGCTGAAGGCCAACCTGATATCGCTGCGCAAGCTAGGCCAGGCCGGAGTCAGCACCACCACCAATGGATCCAAAACATTCAAGGGGCTGCGAGGAGATCGTGTGTTATGGGATTTACACGAAAGCAGAGATGTCTTCAGATCCATGTGGCAGATCCCTGCACTGATATGGGAATCAACAAAGAAGGAGTTGGGAGAAGTAAAGGCGGGTTCTGGAGTCCAGGGGGAGTGTAATGCAGTTAGTGCTGCAGGAGTGACGGTTTCTGCAAGGTCGGGGGAGACTGATTGGGAAACCGCACACAGGCGTCTAGGGCATGTGGCTATGCCATTGCTGCAGCAACTGCATAAGGAAGAAGCAGTAAAGGGGCTCAAGCTTTCTGGGCAACCAAATGCTACCAAGTGCGAGACGTGTCTGCTGAGCAAGTTCACACGGTTCCCCTTTCACGGCGTAGCTGGGAAAAGCAAGGCAGCACTGGAACTGGTGCACATGGACCTCGTAGGACCTTTTCCAGTCCGAGGAAGTAAGGGGGAAAGGTACTTCCTGACAATAGTTGATGACTGGAGTCGGCTGATGTGGGCATACCCGTTGAAGCAGAAGGATCATGCTGCCTCAACAATACGAGATGATTGGCTGCCGTTCGTCGAGCGACAATCTGGGCACCCATGCAAGAGCATCAGAACCGACCGAGGTGGAGAGTTTCTAGGAGGAGATCTGACTGCGTGGCTCAAGAAACAAGGCATTGAGCATCAGCTAACGACGTCCTATACCCCTCAGTCAAATGGCGTTGCTGAGAGGGCTAATAGGACCATCCTGGAAACTGCGCGAGCGCTGCTGATCGAATCAGGGCTGGGGAACTCCATGTGGCCTCATGCGGTGAGGCATGCTACAGTGGCAAGGAACCGCGTACTCACAAAGGTGGCTGATGATATGTGGGTGCCGCTGGAGAGGTGGCTTGGAAAGAAGCCTCCAGTGGACATGCTTCGAGTGTTCGGATGCATGGCAGTGGCGCATGTCCCTAAACCGTACAGGACAAAGCTTGGAGCATCTGCACTTTGGTGTGTGCACCTTGGGCTTGCGGCAGAGAGCAAGGGGTGGCTACTCTGGGAGCCCTCAAAGAATGTGCTGTTTGATAGTCGGGATGTCAAATTTGTGGAGAACATCATGTATGGCAAGTGGGAGAAGCAGCCGGAGGCAAGGGTCACCCAGCAGCTGGAAGAGATCACTATGCACTTCGATCTGTCCGAACCTGAGGACAGCGAAGTCACTGCGCCAACGGCAAGCGGTACTGATGAAGGAAGCAATGAGGATATTGCAGCTGATGCTGAAGTCAAGGATCCGGAGCAGCAGCAGCAAGAGGCTTCCAAAACACCAAGTCTGCCAAAGCGAAGGAAACAGATTGGTGGGGGGACAAAGGATTGGGTGAAGGTGAAAGAATGGGTAAATCCAACCATCTACCCTGCACGTACCAGAATGGCAATGAGAAAGCTGTTGAGCTCCACAAGTGGAGGAGCCACAACTGAGCAGCAGGAACAGGCTCAAGGCGAAGATGCAGTGCTGTTCTTGGGTGATGACCAAGAGTCAGATGACAAGGAGCCTGCATACTGCTTTTACGCACCAATACAACCTCCGAGCATGGATCATGCGCTAGCCGGGCCTCAACGGGGGAAGTGGCTCGTTTCAAGAGATGCAGAGTACAACAGCAAGATGGAGAATCACACATGGGACCTGGTGTACTTGCCAAATGGGAAGAAGGCAATACAGTGCAAGTGGCTGGCAAAAATCAAGACGGATGAGAAAGGAGAGCCATCAGTTTACAAGAGCAGGCTGGTGGCAAAGGGGTTTCAGCAGAAAGAGAAGGAAGATTACAAAGAAGTGTTTGCCCCAACTGCTAAGTCTCCAACGCTACGTGTGCTGCTGGCGGTAGCTGCTGTGCGCAAATGGAAGGTGAAGCAGATGGACATCGTAACCGCTTTTCTGTACGGCATTGTGGAAGAGGAGGTGTACATGGTTCAACCACCTGGCTATGAGGATGGAACCGGTCGTGTCTGCAAACTTAACAAGGCCATCTATGGCTTGAAGCAGGCCCCGAGATGCTGGTACAACAGGCTGGCCAGTGCACTGGAAGGGATTGGATTCCGTGCGAGTGCATGCGACGAGAGCCTGTTCCTGATGGGAGAGGGGGAGTCACTTGTGCTTCTGCTGGTGTACGTGGATGACATCCTGCTCTTCAGCAGCAGTGACAAGGAGATCGATGGGGTGCAGCGGAAGCTCACAGAGCAGTTCAAGTGCAAGTCACTTAGAGAGGCAAGGTACTACCTGGGAATGCATATTGAGCGGGATACTGAACGTGGCTGGCTCAAACTGCATCAGGGACAGTACATCAACACCTTGGCTGAGAAGTACTCTCTGCAGGAAGAACGGGAAGTGGTCACACCTTTGCCTTCCGAGTTCAAACTCATAAAGGCAGCTGAAGGAGAAGGAGTTGAGAGTGAAGACCAGAGGCAATTCCAATCCATGGTCGGGAACCTACTCTACGCTGCTGTGCATACTCGGCCTGACATCAGCTTTGCTGTGGGACAGCTGGCTCGAGTAGTGCAAAATCCAACAGAAGAGCAGTGTGGTGCAGCGAAGAGAGTGGTGCGCTACCTCAAGTCATACCCTACAGTGGGAGTACAGTATTCAGCCTCTGCTCAACTCAGTCAAAAAAGAATTGAAGTCCTCAAAGAGAAGGGGGAGCAGCTCGGAGAAGGAAAGGTGTTCCTTTCCTGTTTTGCTGATGCCACGTGGGCTTCTGAGCATGAGGATTCATCATCAGTTGGTGGATACATCTGCATGGTGGGAGGTGGGCCTGTAAGTTGGAGGTCCAAGAAGCAGTCTGAGACGGCACTATCTTCAGTGGAATCTGAGTACATGGCGATGTTTCATGCGGCAAAAGAAATCATCTGGCTAAGGAGGCTCTTGAAGGAGATCGGCCATGAACAGACTTGTGCGACACCTCTGTTCAGTGATAGCAAGGGAGCCATTGCCATGGCACGCAATGCAGTTCTTCATGGGTTGAACAAGCACATGAGGATCATGTGGCATTGGCTGCGGAAGGAGGTGAAGCTTGGGACACTGGATCCGATCTACGTGAAAACTCAGCAACAGCCAGCCGACTTCCTTACCAAGCGGCTAGCTGAAGAGCCACACTGGCGCTGTGCGAGGATGGCGGGAATGTCCTTGAACTAGAGACGGCGAAACAAGCCGACAGTCTGAGGGGGAGTGTGTTGGTGCATATTCATTTGCACGTCATCCTGTCGTCTGTTCGCATCATTTCGTTTGCATGTGTTTTGTGTGCTACGTTGTTTGTATGGTTTGTTGGGTTTGCATGTCTTTGCATGTTCATCTTGTGCTTGTGCAGATGTGCTTGGATTGTGCATGACATCGAGCACATTCCAACGAGCCAAGAATTGTTGGAATCGGAGCACATATGAAGAAGTTACGAAGAAATGTTTGATGGATTTGTTACAACTCATTGGAAGTCCTTGTCAGCTGCTACACCAAAGTTGGAGAGCCCTATAACGAGGAGGGACCAGCATGTGTGGGACTTTTGTCCCCACCTTGCAGCTGCAGCATTTGGGGTTTGGAGGCCAACCTGGCACAGTGTGAAATTTGTCTTGCCAGGCTGGCTGAACCTGAGGATGGGGAGTCAAAACTTTGACTCTTGTCATGTTCTTGACCATGGGCCTCCAGGGTCCTTCCCTTTCATCCTTCACTTCCTACCCCACCTTCCAACTGTGCTTCAATGCCTTTTCTATCATGCCTCTGATCTTGTAAGCTTCAATCATAGTGACTCTGAGGACTGTCAACTTCTCCTAGGGCAGATTACCCCCCAGTGCGCCAAACGCCATAGCTCACTCGTTTAGCTACGGAATCGAGTGATTCAACTTTCAGTGGAAAGCTGACACTGCCAGCTACAACATATCCGATTTTCAGATCGTTTCACCGATTGGAGTTTTTGATATAGCTATTCGAAGGTCGCGAGTTTTCTGGGCGTCATAACGAAGTGCTGCAGAAATTTCCAAGGAGCCATTGAATCATCTGCTTATAGCCTTCTCTAACCAACAAAAGCAGTATGCAGGCTCTTCGTCATCTGACTCTTGGTCATCACCCAAGAACAGCACTGTATCTTCGCCTTGAGCCTGTTCCTGCTGCTCAGTTGTGGCTCCTTCACTTGTAGAGCTCAGCAGCTTTCTTGTTGCCATTCTGGTACGTGCAGGGTAGATGGTTGGATTTACCCATTCTTTCACCTTCACCCAATCCTTTGTCCCCCCACCAATCTGTTTCCTTCGCTTTGGCAGACTTGGTGTTTTGGAAGCCTCTTGCTGCTGCTGCTCCGGATCCTTGACTTGAGCATCAGCTGCAATATCCTCATTGCTTCCTTCATCAGTACCGCTTGCCGTTGGCGCAGTGACTTCGCTGTCCTCAGGTTCGGACAAATCGAAGTGCATAGTGATCTCTTCCAGCTGCTGGGTGACCCTTGCCTCCGGCTGCTTCTCCCACTTGCCATACATGATGTTCTCCACAAATTTGACATCCCGACTGTCAAACAGCACATTCTTCGAGGGCTCCCAGAGTAGCCACCCCTTGCTCTCTGCCGCAAGCCCAAGGTGCACACACCACAGTGCAGATGCTCCAAGCTTTGTCCTGTACGGTTTAGGGACATGCGCCACTGCCATGCATCCGAACACTCTGAGCATGTCCACTGGAGGCTTCTTTCCAAGCCACCTCTCCAGCGGCACCCACATATCATCAGCTACCTTTGTGAGTACGCGGTTCCTTGCCACTGTAGCATGCCTCACCGCATGAGGCCACATGGAGTTCCCCAGCCCTGATTCGATCAGCAGCGCTCGCGCAGTTTCCAGGATGGTCCTATTAGCCCTCTCAGCAACGCCATTTGACTGAGGGGTATAGGACGTCGTTAGCTGATGCTCAATGCCTTGTTTCTTCAGCCACGCAGTCAGATCTCCTCCTAGAAACTCTCCACCTCGGTCGGTTCTGATGCTCTTGCATGGGTGCCCAGATTGTCGCTCGACAAGCGGCAGCCAGTCATCTCGTATTGTTGAGGCAGCATGATCCTTCTGCTTCAACGGGTATGCCCACATCAGCCGGCTCCAGTCATCAACTATTGTTAGGAAGTATCTTTCCCCCTTTCTTCCTTGAACTGGAAAAGGTCCTACCAGGTCCATGTGCACCAGTTCCAGTGCTGCCTTGCTTTTCCCAGCTACGCCGTGAAAGGGGAACCGTGTGAACTTGCTCAGCAGACACGTCTCGCACTTGGTATCATTTGGTTGCCCAGAAAGCTTCAGCCCCTTTACTGCTTCTTCCTTATGCAGTTGCTGCAGCAATGGCATAGCCACATGCCCTAGACGCCTGTGTGCGGTTTCCCAATCAGTCTCCCCCGACCTTGCAGAAACCGTCACTCCTGCAGCACTAACTGCATTGCACTCCCCCTGGACTCCAGATCCCGCCTTTACTGCTCCCAGCTCCTTCTTTGTTGATTCCCATATCAGCGCAGGGATCTGCCACATGGATCTGAAGACATCCCTGCTTTCGTGTAAATCCCATAACACACGATCTCCTCGCAGCCCCTTGAATGTTTTGGATCCATTGGTGGTGGTGCTGACTCCGGCCTGGCCTAGCTTGCGCAGCGATATCAGATTGGCCTTCAGCCCCGGTACGAGTAACACATCCTTCAGCACAACCAGTCCACCATCAGGTGCTCTGAATGCAGCTCGACCAACTCCAGCGACCTTCACTGCATGTCCGGATGCTGAGCGCACTTCAGAGATTGGAGGCGCTCGCACAGCATCCAGCAAATCCTTGAGTGGTGTCATTGTCCATGCAGCACCAGAGTCCATGACCCACATGTCAAGCGGGTGCAATTCCTCTCCAGCCCTTGCAACAGCTGTACCACTGTCATCTTTGTCACACACATGGTAGAACTGTCCAGCATTCCTCTCCTCATTTCCCATTCCTCTGTCATCCTTGGAGGTTTCTTCAGCAGGATCAGCTACCATGTTGGCACCTCCACGTGGTTGCTTTCCTCCATTCCCCTTTTGCGATTGGTTCCAAGGGGTCCACCAGTCGGGCTTGGTAGAGCAGCGAAACCATGGATGCCCTTCTTCCTTGCAATACCAGCACTCTCCCCTCAAGCGTGGTTCACTGTTGTCATGGTTCGAGTGACCACCTCTTCCTCTTGCACCAGCGCCACCACGCCCTTGCTGGTTCCAAGTCCCGCGACCACCTTGGCTGTAGTAAGAGCGACCGCGATTGCCACGCCCTCGATCCCTCCATGTCCCTTGCATGGCATAGCCGCTGGTGCTGTCATCACCTCCGCGCAGTGTGTAGCAACGAAAATCTTCTTCCAGAATCTTGGTGCGAATCCACTCCAATGTCCATTGACTTTGGTTTTGTGGCAAGCTGAGTCCGCTTATAAATTGCAGCCAAGACTCGGGCAGCAGGCTGAGCATCTTGAGACACTTAGTCTGCTCAGGGTACGTGATGCCCGCAATCGCCAATTTCGCGTAGAGTTCCCTCATCTTGTCCAGAACGGGCTGCACAGGTTCATTCTCGCTCAACCGCAGCATGGACAGCTCCCGATCCAGCATGAGAGAAGCAGCAACCGATGTCGGAGCGTGCAGGTCCTTGAGCACTGCCCATGCCTTGGGCCCACAATCAGTTTCCGGTAGCAGATGCATGATGTGATGCCTCTGGTTCAGCTCCAAGCTTTGTGACAGTAGATAATACCCAGCAGATGAACGTTCATCCCAGTCCGCTTGCTCTGCCATTTCCTTTGGCCTGGGCTCCGTTCCAATCATGAGCTTCAAGAGGCCAATTTGTCGAAAGTAGAGCTGCATCTTCCATGCCCAATCATCATAGCCATCTCCAGAGAACTTCTTAATGGTGAAGTTCTTCAGCACTTCCTTAAGCAGTGATCCCTGGCTTGTACGCGCTCCCCTTTGCGCTGCAATGCCAGAATCTTGGGTTGAGCTGCCTCCTTGGACTGAAGTATCACCTCCACCAGAGTCCTCCTTATCTCCCATCGTAATTTAGGTCCCAAATGCGTGATAATGGGCTCTGATACCACTTGTTGGTTAGAGAAGGCTAGAAGCAGATGATTCAATGGCTCCTTGGAAATTTCTGCAGCACTTCGTTATGACGCCCAGAAAACTCGCGACCTTCGAAAAGCTATATCCAAAACTCCAATCGATGAAACGATCTGAAAATCGGATATGTTATAGCTTGCAGCGTCAGCTTTCCACTGAAAGTTGAATCACTTGATTCCGTAGCTTATCGAGTGAGCTATGGCGTTTGGCGCACTGGGGGGTAATCTGCCCTAGGAGAAATTGACAGTCCTCAGAGTCACTATAATAGAAGCTTACAAGTTCAGAGACATGATGGAAAAGGCATTGAAGCATAGTTGGAAGGTGGGGTGGGAAGGGAAGGATGAAAGGGAAGGACCCTGGAGGCCCTTGGTCAAGAACATGACAAGAGTCAAAGTCTTGACTCCCCATCCTCAGGTTCAGCCGGCCTGGCAAGACAAAATTCACACTGTGCCAGGTTGGTCTCCAAACCCCAAATGCTGCAGCTGCAAGGTGGGGACAAAAGTCCCACACATGCTGGTCCCTCCTCGTTTTAGGGCTCTCCAACTTTGGTGTAGCAGCTGCCAAGGACTTCCAATGAGTTGTAACAAATCCATCAAACATTTATTCGTAACTTCTTCATATGTGCTCCGATTCCAACAATTCTTGGCTCGTTGGAATGCGCTCGATCTGATGTACAATCCAAGCACATCTGCACAAGCACAAGATGAATATGCAAAGACATGCAAACCCAACAAACCACACAAACAACGTAGCACACAAAACACATGCAACGAAATGATGCGAACAGACGACAGGATGACGTGCAAACGAATATGCACCAACACAACATCCGTCTACCTTATGCATGGGCTCCCATACACCATCCCAAAAAAACGCTCGCATGAAAGTGCCACCTGTCCGCGGTTAACCAACTTCCCTGACGTCATTTCTCGAACGCCATAGTGCAGGTGAGCTGGATCTTATTGTTTCGCAATCACATTCCCTTCCTTTGCCTTTTCGCCTTGTCAATTGGTTCAACAGAGTGTTGCTCATGTACAATATCGGTGCACTTTGTTTCATGTGCGCTTGCTTTTCAGAAGTGGACTCATTCGACCTGCTAAAGTGGCATGCCAATGCGAACTGCTTGCCATTTTCAACACCACCCTTTCAAATGGGGATTGCAGCTTCATTTCGTCAGAAGAGGGCCGGCCTTCTGATCTTAAAGCCATATCATGTGGCGTACTGGCTCTTTGGAGTACGTTCCTTGTATTGAGCCTTTTGCTTTCGTATTTTCCAGCAGTTTGAATAATATTTTTCTTTGTGGCGGCCTATGCAGGTGGAATGTCGGATGAAAAACCCAAGCAAGGACAGCTTGACAAGGAGCGGCCCACAGAACGAGGATGCCACCGAAGTGTATCACAAGAACGTCCTAGCATGGATGCGCCACGCCATTGCTCACCGCGACAATAAGAAAGTACCCTGGTACAAGAAGGAGTACGCTGTTCCGGCCTTCTCATCTGTTCCCTCAGTCCTCTCCTCCTGCAGCGTTCTCGCGGAGCATGCTCCCTAGTGGGACAGCGTTGCATGGCATGGGGTGGGATGGGTAGGAGAGCGGGCACCATTTTAGCAGGATCAGTAGGAGGTGGCAATGGGGAGATACACGTTGGTGCAGCTTAGACTGGAGGGGTAAGCAGTGGGGAGAGTTCTTAAAGAAGGGGGAAAGGAAGCAGCGCCCTGCAATTCTGAAGTGGACGGAAAAACAGTTGTGGGTTCAACAAGGAAGAGCGGGGAGTGTAGTGGGAGTGGGGGAAGGGGTGGGGGTAGGGAGGGGGGGGGGGGGGGTTTGTTCTGAAGCAGGGAGAGAAGGGGTGGTGGGGGATCCAACAGCAGGGGGGATGGCAATAGCAGCAGCAGGTTGGGGGAGTGCGGGGGTAGAGGAGAAGGGGGGGAAGGGGTTGTTCTGAAGCAAGTGTAAAAGCAGCAGCGGGGGTTTTATGAGCAGAGAGGAAAACAGCAGCGGGGGAGACGGGAGTAAGGTAAACACAGCAATGGTGGTTTCTGAAGCAAGGGGGGAAGGAGGTTGTGAGGGATCCTGAAGCAGGGGGGTGGCAGCAGTGGGGGTTTCTGAAGGGATGTAAACACAATATACACAACTAGCATAGCATGGTATATTCTAACACATACGCGGTACACCGCCAGACTCGTAGAGAGCGGGCGGAGGGCGTGGCACCGGTGTTGGTGTGGTGTGGTGTTGGGTCGGTGGGGATGTGGATAAAGATTGTAGAGGAAAGCCGCATGGAAGAGGGCATATCCCCTGAGTGACCGTGTTGCGTTGGCATGACTAAGGAGGCAGCGAGCAATCTGAACCAAGGGGTGGTTGCGGCTCTCTGCAATGCCGTTCTGCTGCGGGCTTTCGGGGAGCTTGAAGGTTTGCCTAATCTCTTGGGCCGCACAGAAATTATCGAGTTTGCTACTGCAAAATTCTCCACCACCATCAGAATGGAGGCACTTCAGAGGAGTGCCGAACGTGACTTGTGCCTGGCGCACCCATGCCATGATGAGGTCAGGTGCTTCTGCCTTGGTATGCAGGAGGTGCACAGAAACATACCGCGAGTGGTCATCGACTAGTGTAAGAAAGTACCGATGACCGCCTCGGGATGCGACTGGAGCTGGGCCCCAGACATCCATGTGCACTAGGTCCAGCGGAGCAGCTGCGACGGATGGGGAGGAAGGGTGCGGCTGCTGCCTGAGCTTGCTCTTGGTGCAGTCCGGGCAGGTGGGTGCAGGTGAGTCTGTTGGTGGAGGAAGCGCCGACGGGAGGCCAAGAAGAAGTTTCTTGGAAGCGATGTTGGCAAGCGTACAGAAGTTGGGGTGACCCAAGTGATGGTGGCAGAGGATGGTTGGGTTGTCGAAGCTGCGACAAGAACACGGAGTGGTGTTGGCAGCTTGCACTTGGGAGAGGGCAGCGAGAGGTGCAGGTGAACGCAGCGTGTAGAGCTTGCTGCTGTTGAATGTGAAACGTGCTAGGAGCTTGTTGGACTTAGGGTCGAGGAGGTCACGGTGATCCGAGTGTGCTGGGAAAATCGTGGTGACGCCTGCCTGTTGGAGCTCGTGTTGGGCCACGAGATTGTGGCATAGTGGGGAACACACATGCCGGTGACACTGCCCGAAGGGAAAGCTGGGCACGGAACTGTGGAGGAGCCCTTGGCGTGTGTTGTGAAACTGGAGACTGCTCCTAGTAGATGGATTGGTGTCTTGTATGGCTTGAAGGAGTGTTCTTCCTTGAGAACTGTGTGAGTGGCCCCACTGTCGAGGGCGAAATCTATTGTGGCTCAGGTCCTTTGTGAGCCGGTCACTGCGAAATTGTCTCATTAATCATGGCAGTGCCAGGGAACAACATGTTGAGGCGCACATCAGCAGGGGTAGCTACAGCAGCCTGCACGGATTCCTGCGCTTCGACTTGATTGACCTTGCGAGGAGCACGATTGACCATCCAGCTTGGCGGCTTCGAGACGGTCCCATTGACGGCATATCACTCGTCATCCATCTTCTTGAAGCAGGAGGCGAGGGCGTGGTTGGTGCCGCCACACATCTGGCCGGCACGAGGGCTGTACTTGATGATGTAGGGACAGGGGGGGAAGCGGTTGCGCTAGAATGGTGCCGAAGCGGCATAGGCCCGAGGCATGGGAGCGCGGATTGCATTGGCCTTGGCTTGAGCACTGTTGTCCTTTTCACCAGAATGGAGTGCGGATGAGACCTTGGCAAATGTGAGGTCCGCAGGAGCAAGGCCCAAGAGCATCTTGTGTGTGACTTCGTATGCCGGAGTGAGGCCGACTAGGAGAGCGGCTGCAGGGGCTTGCTCGGGGAATACTATCCCCAACAGCTTGAGTTCACCATGAATGGACTGCACCTTGGTGACATAGTCCGCCATGCCTAGCGAGTTTTTCGAGACACACTTGGAACATGCTGGGGATGAGTATAGCAACTCCCACTGCAGTCTTGTTCAGGAAGTGGTCTTCGAGGTAGAGCCAAATGGCGTTGGCAGACGGGTAATTGTGGTAGGTTTTGACGAGTTCGGGAGGAGTGGTGCCCATGAAGACACTAGTGACCGCACCATCCGCCTTCTCCCAATTCTTGAACTTGAGTAGTGCAGCAGCATAAACTGCTTCGGCGGCGGCATTAGCTGGATTGACGGACCTCTCGGGTTTAGGAGGCTCTTTGCCGTCACCGATGTTGAGAAGGACGTCGGTGAGCTCGAGCCCCTTCACCTCGCGACTGAGGAGGTGCTTGTCGACACCATAGCGCCAAGCCTTGTAGTTCGAGCATGTACTGTCTGGCTCGAGACAAAGGAGCGGGATCAGGTTGGCGAGTGAAGTGGTTGAGTAAGCCATTGCCGCTTGATTTTCGCAAAGCAACGCTCTTAAGTCTCCGATAGGAACTTCGGTACGCAGCTCGGCAATTCTGGAAATCGGTCGACGAGAATGGCTGAAAATCACTCCGGCGGCTTTGTTGAAATGCCGCTGAGAAGTAAATGGCGTCGGCGGAAATTCGTTAAAACGCCGAATTGAAACTGAATCTGAGACTATGTCTAACCCCGAACCCACACACCCCCCCCCCACACCCCCAGGCCCTGTGCTGGTGGGTTGCCTTATATACCTAATGACTTGCACTGGTCCAGATCTCGCATACCCTTTTAGCATCCAAGCTTGCTTTGTGGCCATAGGTAGACACCGACCACAACACTGGTCGGCTGCTAAGAGGGTTTTGCGTTATCTAGCCAGTACATCGGGCATGGGGCTAGTGCTGGGAGGACGCAGGCCAGTGGTCCTTATTGGGCACACTGACGCTTCTTGGGCAAACGACGCTGAGACCCTGAGGTCCTCCCAGGGCTACTGCTTTAGCCTTGGTTCGGGTGCCATCTCGTGGAGGTCCACTCACTCCTCGTCTGTTGCCCAGTCTACCTGTGAGGCTAAGATCTACGCCGATGTCATGGCGGCACAGGAGCTCTGCGGGCTGACCTTCTTGCTCGACGACTTAGGTGAGCGGCCTAGCTCTGCCCCTATTCTGTACACTGACAACAGGGCCATGATCCTCCTGTGTCAGGAGCCACGACTTAAGGTCTGAGCGAAGCACATCCAGCTGCGGTACTTCCTCCTGCAGGAGCTACAAGCACGTCGCCAGGCCCGCGCAGTACACTTGGCCTCCGGTGCCAACACAGCTGATATCTTTAATATGGCGCTTGCGCCTAAAGATCATCAGCGGCACTGCTTGCAGCTTCGTCTGGTTCCTGTAGACTCTCACTTGCTAGGACCTTGATTGTGTACTCCTCTATATTGATACCTTCCAGAATGGCCTTGTGGGTTCTCTTACAGTGGCCGGACTAGTAGTGCTGTTCTGGTTTGCTCTTGTCTTGTTTGTACTCTTGCTGACTGGTCTTCGGACCCTTGCCTTAGAGGTTGGACTAGTAGGGTCACCCTGAGCTGCGTGTTTCTTGCTCAGCAATACCCCTTATCTAGCCTAGGTGGTGTGTCAACCTATACATATGCTTGTATTTTGAAATTATAGACTAGATAGGTGTATGTTCTTGGAGGGTACAACTCCAACCCTATATCTCCCTTGTTCTCTCTTGTTTCAAGTCATTCCTGTATCAGACACTACCCTCCGTGTCGCAGCCACTTATGTTGTTGCCCCATCTTTGGCTGCTCCCACTACCATACCCGTCGCAGCGGACCATGCGGTTGCGGAGCGTGCTCGTACAGCAACACCTTCTCCTGGAACTAGTTGGGAGCCGTTTGACAACCTGCTCCCCGAGGTTGGTGTGGAGACGTGGGTCGCCAGCCCCACGACTTTGTCTTCCCTTCGAGCAGCGAGCGCATCTTCAATCCCAACTGCAACCTCCGCCGCTGCCGTCTCTTCGTCTCGCACGCCCGTTATGACTGGTGGTCTCGTTCTGTTGGTGCATATTCGTTTGCACGTCATCCTGTCGTCTGTTCGCATCATTTCGTTGCATGTGTTTTGTGTGCTACATTGTTTGTATGGTTTGTTGGGTTTGCATGTCTTTGCATGTTCGTCTTGTGCTTGTGTAGATGTGCTTGGTTTGTGCATGACATCAAGCACATTCCAACGAGCCAAGAATTGTTGGAATCGGAGGACATATGAAGAAGTTACGAAGAAATGTTTGATGGATTTGTTACAACTCATTGGAAGTCCTTGTCAGCTGCTACACCAAAGTTGGAGAGCCCTATAACGAGGAGGGACCAGCATGTGTGGGACTTTTGTCCCCACCCTGCAGCTGCAGCATTTGGGGTTTGGAGGCCAACCTGGTACAGTGTGAATTTTGTCTTGCCAGGCTGGCTGAACCTGAGGATGGGGAGTCAAGACTTTGACTCTTGTCATGTTCTTGACCATGGGCCTCCAGGGTCCTTCCTTTTCATCCTTCCCTTCCCACCCCACCTTCCAACTATGCTTCAATGCCTTTTCCATCATGTCTCTGAACTTGTAAGCTTCAATCATAGTGACTCTGAGGACTGTCAACTTCTCCTAGGGCAGATTACCCCCCAGTGCGCCAAACGCCATAGCTCACCCGATAAGCTACGGAATCGAGTGATTCAACTTTCAGAGGAAAGCTGACGCTGCAAGCTACAACATATCTGATTGGAGTTTCGGATATAGCTTTTCGAAGGTCGCGAGTTTTCTGGGCGTCATAACGAAGTGCTGCAGAAATTTCCAAGGAGCCATTGAATCATCTGCTTATAGCCTTCTCTAAGCAACAAGTGGTATCAGAGCCCATTGTCACGCATTTGGGACCTAAAATACGATGGGAGATAAGGAGGACTCTGGTGGAGGTGATACTTCAGTCCAAGGAGACAGCTCAACCCAAGATTCTGGCATTGCAGCGCAAAGGGGAGCGCATACAAGCCAGGGGTCACTGCTTAAGGAGGTGCTGAAGAGCTTCACCATTGAGAAGTTCTCTGGAGATGGCTATGATGATTGGGCATGGAAGATGCAGCTCTACTTTCGACAAATTGGCCTCTTGAAGCTCATGATTGGAACGGAGCCCAGGCCAAAGGAAATGGCAGAGCAAGCGGACTGGGATGAACGTTCATCTGCTGGGTATTATCTACTGTCACAAAGCTTGGAGCTGAACCAGAGGCATCACATCATGCATCTGCTACCGGAAATTGATTGTGGGCCCAAGGCATGGGCAGTGCTCAAGGACCTGCACGCTCCGACATCGGTTGCCGCTTCTCTCATGCTGGATCGGGAGCTGTCCATGCTGCCGTTGAGCGAGAATGAACCTGTGCAGCCCGTACTGGACAAGATGAGGGAACTCTACGCGAAATTGGCGATTGCAGGCATCACGTACCCTGAGCAGACTAAGTGTCTCAAGATGCTCAGCCTGCTGCCTGAGTCTTGGCTGCAATTTATAAGCGGACTCAGCTTGCCACAAAACCAAAGTCAATGGACATTGGAGTGGATTCGCACCAAGATTCTGGAAGAAGATTTTTGTCGCTATACACTGCGCGGAGGTGCTGACAGCACCAGCGGCTATGCCATGCAAGGGACATGGAGGGATCGAGGGCGTGGCAATCGCGGTCGCTCCTACTACAACCAAGGTGGTCGCGGGACTTGGAACCAGCGGGGGCGTGGTGGCGCTGGTGCAAGAGGAAGAGGTGGTCACTCCAACAATGACAACAGTGAACCACGCTTGAGGGGAGAGTGCTGGTATTGCAAGGAAGAAGGGCATCCATGGTTTCGCTGCTCTACCAAGCCCGACTGGTGGACCCCTTGGAACCAATCGCAAAAGGGGAATGGAGGAAAGCAACCACATGGAGGTGCCAACATGGTAGCTGATCCTGCTGAAGAAACCTCCAAGGATGACAGAGGAATGGGAAATGAGGAAAGGAATGCTGGACAGTTCTACCATGTGTGTGACAAAGATGACAGTGGCACAGCTGTTGCAAGGGCTGGAGAGGAACTGCACCCGCTTGATATGTGGGTCATGGACTCTGGTGCTGCATGGACAATGACACCACGCAAGGATTTGCTGGATGCTGTGCGAGCGCCTCCAATCTCTGAAGTGCGCTCAGCATCCGGACATGCAGTGAAGGTCGCTGGAGTTGGTCGAGCTGCATTCAGAGCACCTGATGGTGGACTGGTCGTGCTTAAGGACGTGTTACTCGTACCGGGGCTGAAGGCCAATCTGATATCGCTGCGCAAGCTAGGCCAGGCCGGAGTCAGCACCACCACCAATGGATCCAAAACATTCAAGGGGCTGCGAGGAGATCGTGTGTTATGGGATTTACACGAAAGCAGAGATGTCTTCAGATCCATGTGGCAGATCCCTGCACTGATATGGGAATCAACAAAGAAGGAGTTGGGAGCAGTAAAGGCGGGATCTGGAGTCCAGGGGGAGTGCAATGCAGTTAGTGCTGCAGGAGTGACGGTTTCTGCAAGGTCGGGGGAGACTGATTGGGAAACCGCACACAGGCGTCTAGGGCATGTGGCTATGCCATTGCTGCAGCAACTGCATAAGGAAGAAGCAGTAAAGGGGCTGAAGCTTTCTGGGCAACCAAATGATACCAAGTGCGAGACGTGTCTGCTGAGCAAGTTCACACGGTTCCCCTTTCACGGCGTAGCTGGGAAAAGCAAGGCAGCACTGGAACTGGTGCACATGGACCTGGTAGGACCTTTTCCAGTTCGAGGAAGTAAGGGGGAAAGGTACTTCCTGGCAATAGTTGATGACTGGAGTCGGCTGATGTGGGCATACCGGTTGAAGCAGAAGGATCATGCTGCCTCAACAATACGAGATGACTGGCTGCCGTTCGTCGAGCGACAATCCGGGCACCCATGCAAGAGCATCAGAACCGACCGAGGTGGAGAGTTCCTAGGAGGAGATCTGACTGCGTGGCTGAAGAAACAAGGCATTGAGCATCAGCTAACGACGTCCTATACCCCTCAGTCAAATGGCGTTGCTGAGAGGGCTAATAGGACCATCCTGGAAACTGCGCGAGCGCTGCTGATCGAATCAGGGCTGGGGAACTCCATGTGGCCTCATGCGGTGAGGCGTGCTACAGTGGCAAGGAACCGCGTACTCACAAAGGTGGCTGATGATATGTGGGTGCCGCTGGAGAGGTGGCTTGGAAAGAAGCCTCCAGTGGACATGCTCAGAGTGTTCGGATGCATGGCAGTGGCGCATGTCCCTAAACCGTACAGGACAAAGCTTGGAGCATCTGCACTGTGGTGTGTGCACCTTGGACTTGCGGCAGAGAGCAAGGGGTGGCTACTCTAGGAGCCCTCGAAGAATGTGCTGTTTGACAGTCGGGATGTCAAATTTGTGGAGAACATCATGTATGGCAAGTGGGAGAAGCAGCCGGAGGCAAGGGTCACCCAGCAGCTGGAAGAGATCACTATGCACTTCGATTTGTCCGAACCTGAGGACAGCGAAGTCACTGCGCCAACGGCAAGCGGTACTGATGAAGGCAGCAATGAGGATATTGCAGCTGATGCTGAAGTCAAGGATCCGGAGCAGCAGCAGCAAGAGGCTTCCAAAACACCAAGTCTGCCAAAGCGAAGGAAACAGATTGGTGGGGGGAGAAAGGATTGGGTGAAGGTGAAAGAATGGGTAAATCCAACCATCTACCCTGCACGTACCAGAATGGCAACTAGAAAGCTGCTGAGCTCTACAAGTGGAGGAGCCACAACTGAGCAGCAGGAACAGGCTCAAGGCGAAGATACAGTGCTGTTCTTGGGTGATGACCAAGAGTCAGATGCCGAGGAGCCTGCATACTGCTTTTACGCACCAATACAATCTCCGAGCATGGATCATGCGCTAGCCGGGCCTCAACGGGGGAAGTGGCTCGTTTCAAGAGATGCAGAGTACAACAGCCAGATGGAGAATCACACATGGGACCTGGTGTACTTGCCAAATGGGAAGAAGGCAATACAGTGCAAGTGGCTGGCAAAAATCAAGACGGATGAGAAAGGAGAGCCATCAGTTTACAAGAGCAGGCTGGTGGCAAAGGGGTTTCAGCAGAAAGAGAAGGAAGATTACAAAGAAGTGTTTGCCCTAACTGCTAAGTCTCCAACGCTACGTGTGCTGCTGGCGGTAGCTGCTGTGCGCAAATGGAAGGTGAAGCAGATGGACATCGTAACCGCTTTTCTGTACGGCATTGTGGAAGAGGAGGAGTACATGGTTCAACCACCTGGCTATGAGGATGGAACCGGTCGTGTCTGCAAACTTAACAAGGCCATCTATGGCTTGAAGCAGGCCCCGAGATGCTGGTACAACAGGCTGGCCAGTGCACTGGAAGGGATTGGATTCCGTGCGAGTGCATACGACGAGAGCCTATTCCTGATGAGCGAGGGGGAGTCGCTTGTGCTTCTGCTGGTGTACGTGGATGACATCCTGCTCTTCAGCAGCAGTGACAAGGAGATCGATGGGGTGCAGCAGAAGCTCACAGAGCAGTTCAAGTGCAAGTCACTTGGAGAGGCAAGGTACTACCTGGGAATGCACATTGAGCGGGATACTGAACGTGGCTGGCTCAAACTGCATCAGGGACAGTACATCAACACCTTGGCTGAGAAGTACTCTCTGCAGGAAGAACGGGAAGTGGTTACACCTTTGCCTTCCGAGTTCAAACTCATAAAGGCAGCTGAAGGAGAAGGAGTTGAGTGTGAAGACCAGAGGCAATTCCAATCCATGGTCGGGAGCCTACTCTACGCTGCTGTGCATACTCGGCCTGACATCAGCTTTGCTGTGGGACAGCTGGCTCGAGTAGTGCAAAATCCAACAGAAGAGCAGTGTGGTGCAGCGGAGAGAGTGGTGCGCTACCTCAAGTCATACCCTACAGTGGGAGTACAGTATTCAGCCTCTGCTCAACTCAGTCAGAAAGGAGTTGAAGTTCTCAAAGAGAAGGGGGAGCAGCTCAGAGAAGGAAAGGTGTTCCTTTCCTGTTTTGCTGATGCCACTTGGGCTTCTGAGCATGAGGATTCATCATCAGTTGGTGGATACATCTCCATGGTGGGAGGTGGGCCTGTAAGTTGGAGGTCCAAGAAGCAGTCTGAAACGGCACTATCTTCAGTGGAATCTGAGTACATGGCAATGTTTCATGCGGCAAAAGAAATCATTTGGCTAAGGAGGCTCTTGAAGGAGATCGGCCATAAACAGACTTGTGCGACACCTCTGTTCAGTGACAGCAAGGGAGCCATTGCCATGGCACGCAATGCAGTTCTTCATGGGTTGAACAAGCACATGAGGATCAAGTGGCATTGGCTGCGGAAGGAGGTGAAGCTTGGGACACTGGATCCGATCTACGTGAAAACTCAGCAACAGCCAGCCGACTTCCTTACCAAGCGGCTAGCTGAAGAGCCACACTGGCGCTGTGCGAGGATGGCGGGAATGTCCTTGAACTAGAGACGGCGAAACAAGCCGACAGTCTGAGGGGGAGTGTGTTGGTGCATATTCGTTTGCACGTCATCCTGTCGTCTGTTCGCATCATTTCGTTGCATGTGTTTTGTGTGCTACATTGTTTGTATGGTTTGTTGGGTTTGCATGTCTTTGCATGTTCGTCTTGTGCTTGTGCAGATGTGCTTGGTTTGTGCATGACATCGAGCACATTCCAACGAGCCAAGAATTGTTGGAATCGGAGGACATATGAAGAAGTTACGAAGAAATGTTTGATGGATTTGTTACAACTCATTGGAAGTCCTTGTCAGCTGCTACACCAAAGTTGGAGAGCCCTATAACGAGGAGGGACCAGCATGTGTGGGACTTTTGTCCCCACCCTGCAGCTGCAGCATTTGGGGTTTGGAGGCCAACCTGGTACAGTGTGAATTTTGTCTTGCCAGGCTGGCTGAACCTGAGGATGGGGAGTCAAGACTTTGACTCTTGTCATGTTCTTGACCATGGGCCTCCAGGGTCCTTCCCTTTCATCCTTCCCTTCCCACCCCACCTTCCAACTATGCTTCAATGCCTTTTCCATCATGTCTCTGAACTTGTAAGCTTCAATCATAGTGACTCTGAGGACTGTCAACTTCTCCTAGGGCAGATTACCCCCCAGTGCGCCAAACGCCATAGCTCACCCGATAAGCTACGGAATCGAGTGATTCAACTTTCAGAGGAAAGCTGACGCTGCAAGCGACAACATATCTGATTTTCAGATTGTTTCACCGATTGGAGTTTTGGATATAGCTTTTCGAAGGTCGCGAGTTTTCTGGGCGTCATAACGAAGTGCTGCAGAAATTTCCAAGGAGCCATTGAATCATCTGCTTATAGCCTTCTCTAAGCAACACGTTCTGCCGGTGAGGATTTCGGGAAAGACAAATTACATCCAACGAAAGCTTGCTTTCGCCCATCATTGTCTGAACACCTCTGCTGCACGTGAGATATTTGGTGGTTGCCCTGAGCATAGGCGATCTTGAGGCTTGTTGATGTTTTCCCAAGTGCTATCATTCTGTTTTTTCGAAGTTTGACCATAAGGCCTACGAGATGGTAATAAGCCCGAAATTCTACTTCCTGCTGTACTTCCTTACTGACGTCCTCAATGAGCTCAACGCCGTGAAACTCACGTTCCAACGATGACAGATAAGGGTTTGCCAACATTGTTACCAAATCCACATTTGTCTTGCTTTTTGTCCA